TAAAGAACACATCAGTCAAAATGGTCTGTGAAGGAACATAGCATTAATTGTCATATATTTTCTTTTCTTCTCTTTCTCTTCTTGTGTTTGTTGCTTCATAGTGTATCTCAGATGAAGTAAACTCTGGTGTGGATGCGTGTCCCCTGCACACGGTCCCAAAAGAATAAAAAGGCAGAACAAAAGTGGGAATATAGAATATCAGCCGCGACAAGCAAGCTAAAAACCACAATATCTTTGGCATCTTAATATTATGATCATATTAAAGTTAAATTTGGATCCAACCCTCTCAGAGTTTCGAATATTGAGGTCAAATAAAGGTACCCAAAGCACACTCCACTCTGTGCTCTCAAATCTCAATGTCTGAAACTCTTAATTCCTGCCTTAAAGCAACTCCAACCACTCAGACACTAACCATCCTATTCCATCCTTTCTTTCTCCTCAAAGATTTCCACCTTCTGGGGATTGCTGCCTCCTCCTTCCATCAATTTCTATTTATTAATTAACTATGTTTTTATGTAATTGACACTACACTGTATCATAGCACTGTCCCAGAACAAATTAGTAATAGTATAATTTGTCTTTGGTCTTTGTAGTATTTGCATTACTACCTTGCAGGATCAAACTCTCTGACTTGAAATTTCACTGAAACCTGACATCATGGTCAACTGTCACACATTAGCAAACCAGAATGTCATGAGTTCAGCTTCAGCATGCGTACTGTCTAATGGGTCGGGTACGGGTTTGCACCGATCCACACTGCCATGGTTTGATCCATTATTAGGTTAGGATGTGTAGCACCTGGGTTCCACTTCACAAGCACACATGGTGTCAGTGTCAACACCTTACCAGTTTGCAGAACCAATAATTCAGTTCAGTTTCAAACCAAGCCAGGTTGAATCTTGTGGAAAAATTTAATCTTTCAGAATATGGTAAAACAAAGTTTTTTTTTTTTTCTTATTGGATTAGATATTGATCTTCCTTCATCTAATAGAGAATTGGGACAAGACCAAGATAAAATTTTAGCATTTAATACTAAAACATGTTTTGAACATAGATGATTTTGAAAGAAGCGTGTATATGTGTAAAGAAAAGTAAAAAAAGAAATTGAATCGAGGTTGGGTTGTGGTTTTGGTTCCTCCAATCTCATAAAAGCACTTATGACTCTGAAGTGATTACCCAACAACTCCACTGTACCAACCTGATCCTTCTGTTTGGGGTCCCAAACTTCTAATTTATCTGTCGAGTTCATAAACTAGTCCCTGCCTCCCTGGGGCACATGTCCCTCTATGAAAGGTAGCCTATTCCTTCTGATAAGGACCTCACTTCAGTTCTCATTGCCACCACCCAACACCCATCACTATCCTTATTCATGATTAAATTAACCCCGCAAGTGGTGTTGCATGTCTTGTGTTATGTCAAAATCTCACACTCTAATTCAAAATCATCACTACAAAATAAAAAATAACATAAAATAATCTACCAACCCTTAATCAAAGCCGGTGTGAGCATGATCAACTATGTCTTAATCTGCTATGCTGAAGTTGGGTCATGAGTGTTACTTGCACGATAATAATCGTTTAATCTTTCAAAAGTTTGCAATACAAATAGTACTTTTTTCCTTGCAGTGATACAATCTAGCTATTGAAAAACCTTATAAATGTTGCGTGACTTGTTTTGCTACTACTTGGGGTTAGAAGTCAGATTTTGTTTTCAACCATTTCCGAACTTCGGTAGTGTTAGAGTTACCCATATGCTATCCCATGTCAACACCGTGGACCACCAAGCAAACAAATATCTACCGTTGAACTCTGAGATGGACAGACACATCAGATTTTAGGAACCGTCCCATGAAGATTTCATCTTTTTCCTTTAAGTATTGTTCTATGAATATAAGTGTCACTTTTGAACTAGATTTAGGTGGGATATTTTGATTCCCTTTTCTAGTTATTGATTTTCTTGTTTCCTATCAGCTACAGCAAAGCCGTAGTAATAATAGTTGCACAAATAAACCTTTAAAACAATATTCGTAATAGCAGATGACTTTCACTACCATATGAATTATTGGACTGTGACGTCCTGCTGATTTTATAGCATATATTCAATAATTTTCATGAGCATGATATATATAGTATTATTCTAAATGTTAGATTCTATGGTTTCATTATGTCACAAATACATGTGTTGTGTTACATGAAGGAGGTGAAACATCAATTCCAAATGGGTCTTGAGTTTAATTGGGTCACTTTCCTGACAGAAAATACTAACAAAGTAGCTGCTTTAGACAGAAGTTTCAATCCCATGAATTATTTTTGTTTGGAATGAAACATCTATGTGCAAAATTCTAGTTGATTATTTACAATGGTTGAGTTTTCCATCCATCTCTTTCTCATTGTGATTTCACCTTTTTTCTGGGCCATTTTGCATGTTGTTTCTTGGTAACACTACCAGCCAAGTTTGAATCATAAGGCAAGGGAACCCCCACACCTAAAGAAGGTATTTTTAGTTTAAAAGTATTACAATTAAATTTCATATCATAAATGGCAAAGCTCTTTAATTTGAATTGCTCTTTTTTTTTTTTAATTACCCATTTTTATAATATTTTTAAATTAACTCCATAACATAAAGTAAAAACCATGAAAAGATTATAATTCAATAAATGACACATGAAATAATTAACTGTAATGAAATATAGGCTTGAAACACTTTTGTTAAATAGGTATAAATTTATGTCACTTGGGTCAGTGGATCTGTAAAACAAGAACTGGTATCTGAGTAATGTGGGTGATGAGTTAGTTGACAGCCAGGTATTTATTAGGCTGTTCTTATTGGTACGTACGATCAATAATGCAACAAATTTTGTCTTCACTTGAGTCTTAAATATGGTAAATTCTTCACCTCAAACATTCCATTGGGGTTCACATCTCACAGAAAAAAATTAAAACTTGCTCTTTTTTCATATCAAACTAAATATACTTGTAGTTATTTTTGTGTCCTTGTTAGTGGCAACGCCCCTAATTAAAGGGTAAAATAATGATCAATATGAAGTGGAAAGGTTGTGAGAAACGAATCTTCTACTCCTTTCATAATACAAGCTGGTCACAAGAAGTTGAATTCAACAATGGGAAGGAGTTGTCCATTAGCTATTAGGTCATGAAAAGAAAACAAGTACAGTCCATAGAATATAAATGTACAGCACAACAAAAATGAAGGTTGATTATACACACTACTTTTCTTTTATTGATTTAGTATACACACTAGTTGAACAGTGAAGTAGTAGCCAAATATTAAAAAAGGAAAGAAGACAGAAAAGAAAAGGAAGAAAGAAAGAAAGGATAAATGGAAAGTGGTGGAAATTATATATGAAACTAAACCAACCCCACATCCTACAAAAACAAAAGCATTTTGATAAACTTTGGATTTTTTTTGGAAGGTGTTTCCATGGTGGTGGGGTTGTTCTTTTGTAGAATACAGACATCTTTTAACGCATTTTTTTAAAATTTGAAAGGATAAAAATAAAAAAAGGTGACATGGGGGCAGCAAATTTGCACCAGGTTGGACTTTTAATGAAGACAAACAATGATTTTGGTTGCAAAAGCAGGGTCCAAACTCGCAGAAGATCATTGTTCAGTGTTCTCCTACTTTAAAAAATTGTGCATTATTTTAGAGTGTAGTCATTGGCTGTATTATATGTCAGTACCATCGGGATGGGTTTTGAGAGGTCCCTGTGTTCATTGCTTTTACACACAAACCCAAATCCAATCTTTAAATTTCGGAATCACCATTTTCCCTTCACTCACAACTCTTTGCTTCTTCCTTTCTTCTTCTTCTTCTTCTTCCACAGTTTTACAACGGAACATTACCAAGAATCAAACATATATATACGTTACATAAAGTAATTGTTTTAAAATCATGTAAACAAACCATTTTTGAACAACATCCCCACAACCAATGCCCCATCATAATGACAAGATCCAAGTTTCTCATGAAATCATATGAACCCATAAAGGCATAGATTCCAATTACAAATTATCACGTGACTAGAGTGTAGTGTAGAGGATTGTAACGTAATATGCAGCCCAAATTATCCCTTCGAAGAATTAAACTTCTCAAGTAGTTCATTGACTATTTCTTAAGTTAGCCACCCAACGATGTTGATGGGGAGAGTTCTACTCTACTTTCACGCAAGGTCACATGCTACATACGTTGTTACAATTTCTTTTTCTGTTTCTTTTGACTAGCTAAGTAACTGTTTTTCTTTAAACAGTTTCTGTAAAGTCATGAACAACTTGAGCTTATTTTTTGAGAAAAATCACTTATTTACATGTTTTTTCTTAATTGAAATGTACATATTTATAGGCCCAATTTAATAGGCCCGGCCCAGAAGTTAACGGGTTGAATAGGTTAAAATAGGGGGTTAAATTAAGTCAGGGTGTTGAAAAGGAAAACAGATATTAAAAAGATAGTTGGTCCTAATTATTTAGGTCGAAAATGGCAGTATTAAGCTGTCAGTGAGACCACTTTGACAGGTTCACGAGTTTCTTATTTATTTATTTATACATATACATATATATATATATACATATACATATATATATATATATATATATATATATATACATATATATATATATATATATGTATGTATATATGTAAACCATATAACATAAAGCCAACTCATAGTCATAGAGCAGCTAACTATCCTAGTTCCAAGCTGTTTATTAGCTTGCAGCTTCCACAACAAACAATCACCTTCTCTCTTCTCTTCTATCTTTCTCTCTAAAATGCGACTTTGTTGTAGTTGTTGTACGTGTGTGTGAGTGAGGCTAATCAGTACGGATACTTGAGGAAAGGAACAAATATAGAAGCGTCCAATGCGTACCAACAATACCCTTCCCTCTCTCTAAAATACAATTCTCAAAACACTACTCTCACTGTCTGTTCTCTACTTCTCCACTCACATCTCTGCGCTGTGTGTGTGAACTACCAGCTAGCAAGCCGGGATGAGTAAACAAGACACGCTCAAAGTTCAGGTGCACACTTGTTACTAGATTCACTCTTGTGTTCATAGGTTAATTAAACTAGTTTAAAAACAAATCTGTTTCCTTTCTTTGTTGGTTGTTTTGTTTAAGGGGCGCAGTTCTGAACTGGTGTTAACTGATCTGTCTTGTGTTTATATTTTCCCCATGTAGAATTGCCTTCTCAAGGTGAATATCCACTGCGATGGCTGTGAACAGAAAGTAAAGAAAATCCTGCAGAAAATTGATGGTACATCTCTTGCACCCACCCTTTTACCTTTTCTTTTTTCAAATTCTCCTTTGATGCCAATTAGCTTCATTACTCAACTTTGTTACCTAATTTATCCACTTATTTTGATGTTTATTTCTATAATATATCCAAGCTTCCAACTTTACTCTTTCATCTTGGTACATAGCTTCCAAGTTTACTTTTTTTTTTTTTTCTTCTCCTGGTACATGGTTTGGAACTTTACTTTATTGTGTAGTATTGTTTCTGTTTTTGCAAGCAAAGATGGTTAGATTTAAGATTTGACAGTTTACTTTAGTAGAGTATTATTTAATTTTGTCGTTAAGCAGAATGAGCTTTTGTTGTGCAGGGGTGTATTCTGTGAACATAGACGCGGAGCGGGGGAAGGTAATGGTGTCAGGGCATGTAGATCCAGCTAGACTGATAAAAAAGCTGAAGAGGTCAGGGAAGCATGCCGAAGTTTGGGGTGGCCAGAGAGGCATGATGTACAACCAAAACTACCCCACCTACCCTCAGTTCAAGAACTTGCACATAGATAACACCAAAGGGAAGGACAACAAGTCTCAGAATCACAAGGGTGGTGCTCCTCAGAAAGGTGGAGGTGGAGGTGGTGGTCAACTAGCACACTTCCAAAATACTAAAGGAGGGCCTAAAGTACCTCCCAAGAATCAGAAATCTGTCAACTTCAACTTATCAGAGGATGAACTTGATGACAGTGATGAAGATTTTGATGAATTTGATGATGACTATGATGAGTTTGAAGACGATATGGATGATTTTGATGAAGAGGAGGAGGAAGAGTACGGTCATGGTCATGGCCATGGCCATGGTCAAGGGCAGGGGCAGGGACAGGGGCATCCGATGCAACACAACAAGATGATGTATATGATGGGCCAGATGGGGAACGGACGTGGGCCGCATGGGCCTGGCGGAATGATGAATCAAGGGCCTGCCATGAACAGCCATAAAGGGAATGTGGGTGGGAATTATGGGACTGTGAAGAAGGGTGAGGTCATTGATCTACCCATACAAATGAAGGGCAAAGGTGGAAACTTGAGCGAGGGTAAGAATGGAAATGGAGGGAAAAAGGGCAAAGGAGATGATGGTCAAAAGAACAAAGGTGGAAAGCAAAAGGGTGGTGGCGGTGGGGGAGATAACGCTCATAATAATGGTAACAAGAAAAAAAACTCCAAAGCCAAAAATGGCGGTGGTTTCCTAGTTCGGTTTCTTGGCCTTGGGAAAAAGAACAAGAAGGGTGGAGGTTCAGCCGACACAACAACAAACAAGAATAGAAACAACAAAAATGGAAACAACAACAACAACAAAGGAAAGAAAGATGGAGGAGGAGGAGGTAAATTGGACAAACTTGACTTTGACTTCCAAGACTTTGATATCTCTCCCAAAGGTAAAAATGGCAAGGGTGGCAATAATGGTAAAAACAATAATGGCAAGGGCCATGGTGGCAATAATGGTAATGTGGGTCACATGGGTCCAATGAGTCATCAGATGGCCCCAACCGGTCAGAGAGGTCCAATGAATCAGATGGGTCCAATGGACCATATGAGGAACATGAACATGAACATCCCGGCGGTGCAAGGGTTACCGGCGGCGGCAGGGATGAACAGTGGCTACTACCCAGGGATGCAAATGCACATGCAACAACCAAACCCTTACAACATACAACAGCAGCAACAACAACAATTGATGGCCATGATGATGAACCAACAACAGCAGCAGCAACAGCAAGCAAACATGAGCATGTATCCACCACATATGATGTATGGAAGGCCACACCCTCACCAACACCCGTCTATGAACTACTTTCCACCGCCACCAATGCCGTCACACCCCATGGCAGATCCTATCACGCATGTCTTCAGTGACGAGAACACTGAGAGCTGCAGCATCATGTAAATTATTAGTGGTGACTAGCTTGTTTTAATTAGGTTTTTCTTTGTATTTGTTTGTAGTATTTTGTCTTGGGGGGTTCATTAAATTTTGTCCTAGTGCTAGAAAACTGTGCAACATTTTAGGTGTACTAGAGATATCATGTGCTGTTTGTTTTATTTTGGTCGGGACCTGCTTAAAAACAGCCCCATGGATGACGAGTAGGGCATGCTGTGCCAGTGCAAGGCCATGACAGGCTCTCACATGGCCTTTTAATTTGCTCAGATTAAATGGAGCCATGTGTCTGTAAAATTCAATGCTCTACATTCTATTGGCCAAAATATGTTCTTTTCACACTGCTCACAATATTCAATACTTTTAAGTTTCAATTTCAATGCTGTTTTGTGTTTTCTGCAAAACCCCTTTTAACTTTTCTATCATTTAATCTTTTATTCAAAGCTTTAAGTTGTTGCTAATTATGGTGTCTTGCTGCATTATATAATGTATGATACTCCTCTTACAGTCCTTACCTAAGAAATTAGTTCAGCACAGGTTCCTTACAGAACTCCATAGTCCTTTATCTGCTTCTGCTGCCGCTGTTTCTTTTCTTTCCCTCTATTTTTGGGGGTTGGGAAGGGAATAGAACTACACAAGTGCCAACAACACTTCTTCAACTTTATGCTTCTCCATCGATATATGGAAAGTGAGAACAAAGAGTTTCGTGGGACCAGTCCTCGTGTTGAAAGAAACCCCTTTTTTCATTACATGCATTTTTTCAAATGTTTCATTTTTTAATTCACCGCTTACCTTCTCAAACAACTGAAAATAAATTTATTTTTAAATGCAAGGTTTTGATCTTTTAGTACTTTACAAATCGGTTCGTTTACAATATTGTTTATACCTAACATTTGAAAAATGTACAAATTTGATTCTCAAAAAAATAAATAATATTACTCTTTAATTAAATGTGGTAGAGAAGTTATCATCCTATCCTAGTTATATATTCTCAAATTTAGCTTAAGACAAAGCTTTTTTCTTTTCTCAAATTCTCATATTATATTGTGGATTTCATCATTGTAAAATAATGAAAAATATACACATAAAATAATATTTTTGGACACTAAACATTATAATCACTATTAGTCCAAAAAAAATGGCTTTGATTTTTGACATGATTGAAAGCAAAGCATCCACTACTGTGTTGAATATCAATGATAGATCGTACATAAAGTATTCACTTTCTCGTCAAACCAAGAAACACAAAGTGAAAGAAAAAAACAAAAACAAAATGAAAGAAAAAACAACAGAGAATGAGGGAGGATCACGAAAAGAGATCAAAGTGAATGCAGAAAGATTTCATATCCATCCATAATTTATTTATTTTTTATTTCATTAGATAATCAACAACGGTTATTAAACATTCTTCATAAAGTTAAATAAGTTTTCAGCTAAACCCTAATTAATAGAACATGCAATAAAAGTTATCCAAAACCTTTTAAAAAAACACCCAAAATATATTCCTTTACATTCACAAATAAATAATCAAATTACTTTAGTCACACATTACTCATTCCACTTCCTTCAATATTCAAGGGAATGAAAATTGTCTTATAAGTTGTAACTCACTCACATTTTATCTTGTAAAAAGGAATAAGTGGGCTTTCTCATATGTTATCATCGAGGTGGGCTCTAAGTTCTATTAGCCCACATAAACATGGGCTCTATCTCTGTCTTTCAAATCTCGCATTGCATTAGTTATTTTTTTAAAGAACTTTACTGTTTATTTAAAGAACATACTATAAACATGAAATAAAAATAAATTACACTAATATTTATTTTCTAACTAAATTCATATACCCAAATTTTTTTATTTGGTGTTGATAATATTATATTATCATCATCTTCTATAGAGTTTTCTTTTTTATAATTAGTTTTTTAACCACGTATAAGATAATATATATTTTTTCAAATATATTATTATATATAAAAGAAGTTTTTTTTTTAACTGTTAAAGAATATTTCGAGGATTTAATTTAAATGATATATTTTTTATGTTGAAAAAAATGTAAAAAAGAATTTTATTATGTTTAAATAGTTCATAATTAATTTTATTTCAATATTTTTTAAAAAATTTAAAAATAATTTCTTTATCTTAATTTAAGTTTTTTATTCATTTTTAAAATTATTTAATAAATTAATTAAGAGGATATATAATATATAAATAAATAATTATTATGATAATAAACATTTGAAAAATAATAAAAAGTGGTGGAAGATAAACAAAATTAATACTTACCATGAATGAAATGAACGTGATATACATTTTAATAATCGAGAAAAAATATATCATAAAAAAAATAAAAAGTAATAATATTAAAAATTTGAACATTAAAACATTCATTAATATATTATAATGATAAAATAAATTTTCTAAACATATCATTATAATTTACTTTATATATATATATATATATATATATATATATATATTATTTAAAGATTTTTTTTCATCACTAAAAGTAAATTTTTTTAAATATATATTTAAAAAATATTAGAAAGTGAAAAAAAAACATAATACATGTAATAAGTGAAAACAAATAAAGAAATAATAATAATACGTGAACACGTACCCGCATTTATTTCGACTAGTATTTAATAAAATGTTTAACATGATATTAAAATAGGTTTGAAATAAATTAAAAATATATGTTATATTATATTTTATTATATATATATATATATATATATATATATATATATATATATATTATTTTAGTATTTTTGAACTCTTACTTTTTTACCCATTTGATTCATATTAACAAATGCATTTGCACTTCATGACATTGAATATATATTTTTAAGTACTATTGATTAATTAAAAAGTAGGACTTATATATTATTAATTTTATATAACATTTTTTGAATAAAAAAATTATGCTTTTAAAAATTAGTCGTACTATGATTTTATACATATAGCTCAAACTCCCATCATCTTTGATCCTAGTGTTATACGGTACAAACCAAAACAAAAAATAACTCAATAAAGAAAGAAAAAGAGTTTGTTATTGTTACGATGAAAGTCAGAATAGATCATACTAGTTTTTTGGGTGCTTGCCCCTCTTTAGGTTCCTTCAAAGAAAACATCATTAATCGTTACAAAGCTCTGTTTATTTTATATGAAACCCTGAAAACAGGATTTGGATCTTCAAGCGTGGGGAAAAACATTCTACAATGTGTTTTTGGTGTACTAAAACTCGTGCATAACAGATTTGTAAATGATGGAGAATTTCTGATAATTTTGTCTTTCTCCTCTCCTTTTTATTTTCATTTGTAATCCCTTACAGATTCCTAAGATTTGCAGAACAAAGCATCACCTGTTATAGAGAAGGTACTACTAACTCTAGCTATAGGATACATATATCTACGTAATTTTGTTCAGGATTCTATCTTGTTACGGTTAATCCAAACCCAGGAATTTGGATGAGTATTTGTTGCCATGAAATATATATAGCGTTGGCTTATGATGATACTATTATATGCTGCTCGTGAGCTTGTGAACAGATGCAAAGAAATTGGATTAAGATCAAGATCTACGGATGAATTTGATATATAGTTGTTTACTAGTTTTGTTTAATGCATGCAAGGGGAAAGGGTGTGCCTTCCTTTCTTTCCTCCAACTCTTGTATTTCCTGTCTAAAGAATGAGGTTGTTGTATTGTGATTCCACATGTACAACATCATTGTGCTTGTTTGAATAATCATTCTTTTGAATGGTGAATGTACTATCAAAAACGATATTTTAAATGTACAATTAGAATGGAGGCAATGGTTATCTATTGCATGTTTATATTATTGTTTTGATCACATTCAGAATGCAGACATTGATTTGTTGATTAACCTGAAGCAGGATGGATCATCAAGGGCATGGGCATGGTCAGAACCCATCTCTGGGAGTTGTTGGAAGTGGACCTCAACTCACTTATGGTTCTAATCCATACCAAGCCAGTCACATTACAGGCTCACCTGGGATGGTTGTTGCATCACCTGGGAGCATTCAATCCACTGGTCAACCAGCTACAAATCAGCTAGGACAGCATCAACTTGCTTATCAGCACATGCATCAGCAACAGCAGCAGCAGCTGCAGCAAAGACTCCAAGCCTTTTGGGCAAATCAATATCAAGAGATTGAAAAAGTGACTGATTTCAAAAACCACAGCCTTCCCTTGGCAAGAATAAAAAAGATTATGAAGGCCGATGAGGATGTCAGAATGATATCAGCTGAAGCACCAGTCATATTTGCAAGGGCATGTGAAATGTTCATATTGGAGTTAACCTTGCGTTCTTGGAATCACACCGAAGAGAATAAAAGGAAAACACTTCAAAAGAATGATATTGCAGCAGCCATCACAAGAACTGATATCTTTGATTTCTTGGTTGATATTGTGCCTCGGGAGGACTTGAAAGATGAAGTGCTTGCATCAATGCCAAGAGGAACTGTACCTGTTACAGGGGCTCCTGAGGCACTTCCTTACTGCTATATGCCACCTCAACATGCTCAAGTTGGAGCTGCTGGTGTCATGATGGGTAATAAGCCTGTGATGGACCCTTATGGTCAACAGTCTCATCACTACAACATGGCACCACAAATGTGGCCACAACCACCAGAGCAACAACAATCATCTCCAGACCAGTAGCTACTTATTATGGAAGGATATTTGGCGCTATTTATCTTTTGTTAATTAGGTTTCCAAGGTTTGAAATTTTAAATTTTTTGTTGGCCTGTTCATTTCAATACATCATAGTAAAATTTAAGTCTGCAGTTTTTTCAGTTTTACTTACCATCTTTTCTTCATGGAATTTCATATCTTCTGTTATAGAGATTCTTAATGTATTGCAAATATACAAACTAATTAAATGCAAATAAGTTTTATGATTTATTCATTATAGTTGCAGCTGGTGTTGGTCTCAAAACTGCATTATGATTTATGATTTTGCTATATTTATTCCAAGCTGACATTGCATTGGGGGAAGCATTCGGCTTTTAGCTGTTATTAATAACTATCCTGTCTTGTGTTGAATATGAAGAAGTGGATATTGTCATTGAACATTTGAATGTTCTCTCTTTGTCTCCCATTTCACATTGATTATATTTTTACTGGGTAATTCACACTGCAAGTTTATGTTATCTTTCTAAAAGATACACATATACTTTGCTGCAAAGCAAATCTCCAAAAGGATATTCCAATGAGTGTTGTTATTGATATTATAAAAAGTATGTCAATAAGATTAGAACATGTTAAAACTTAAAATGTGTGCAAGTATAAGAATGTTAAACAGTTTTAGACAATTATCAGAGATTTTGTTTTAAGTATAAAACAAATGTGCAAAATAAAAAACATTGTGATAAAAATCAGTAACTTGTTTGCACTGGTTGTTTGACTGCACGACACAATTATAATACCAGGTATAAAACTAGAAAAAAAAAAAACTTTGTTAGATTGACACTTTTGAAGAACATTTTGATTCACAGATTCAACAATTTCAAATTAACAGATCCTTTAAAAATATATAAAGTCAAAACCAAAACATAGGAATGTCAAAACTTATCCTGGCTGTATTAGTATTAAAGTTTAAAATTTAAATAATTATAAGATGTAGTTAACAGTATTTGAGGTGTTAATGTAGTATTAGACGTCTTCTTCTTATACTATAATCTTTTTTTTTTTTTATAAAAGTATCTAAGATAATATTAAGACGTCCATAAAAAACATTATGGTATTACATACGGAGAAAAACTTATTTTTGTCCACAATCCAACATAAGCATAGTCTTTGACATTTCAGCTTCTATTATATTAGATATGTAAAACAAGACTACAAGTTTTTGCAACCATTTTCAAAACGTTAAGTAGAGATATAAATGAAAATGTGCATACGGATATAAAGTGCTGTCATGATATGCTATGACATTTAAATAAACAGACATCCACACTTTTTTTCAATAACTAAAATTGGAGTTATGCAATCCAAAGATGTAAATGATAGGATAAAGATAAAATGGATTAATTAATCATGGGACATGTCATGGTCACTTTAGCAGATTAATTAATCATAAGACAGTATGAACATGTGCATCACTACCACAACAAACATTGTCACTCAACCCACATGCATTTGACATCTGACATTTTACTTCAATTCAAACTAACTTTTCATTGTTTCTCTGAGGAACAAAACGTGACATACGTTTCACTTTCATAACAATTGCTTCAAGAATCCCATTAGTGCCAAAAGTACCATCAAATTGAAGCGGATCAACGGGGCCAGGCAGCTGGAACGAGATGGTGAATTCACCTGGTGGACAAAGGTTGAAAGTTTGCATTTCAAACACCTGATTGTACATGGATACTGTCTTCTCTCCCGTCATCGTTACTCCAGATATCAATACTTTCCCATCACAGCTAACGTCACAACTGAATTCGTCTGCAGTTATAAATCCAGTTATATCAGTTATTAGTATTGAGATCTCTGAGACACAATGATGTAAAAATGATCAAAAGGTTTTTCTTTATTAATAAAATATGCATTCCTCTTTTTGGCCAATTTAGAAATTTGGTATACATGAACCACAGTTAAAATTCATTGATCATGTAAAAAAAAGGCAAATTACAAACAAACAAACACCATGCTTCCACAAACAAGTGGAAGCTTTTATATATACAGATTTCATCTGACCTGGAACTTAAAATAAATTCATTTCATCAATCAAAATCTAGACATTTGGAAAATCCAAGTACATACAACATAAAACCTCATAACTAAACTAATAGAAATTATATTAAGACAAATGCTAAAGTTTCAAAAGTTTTTCGATTAAGAATACCATTTTATTATTAAAGATGAATCCTTGAAAGTTGACAGTCAGATACTTACTTTCTTCCCTCTTGACTCCAGGAAGAGACACACGAAACAGGTAGGAATCTTCACACTCTCCAATATCCACACGTCCCACAGAAGGCCCAAATGGCCCCTTAGCCGCACTTCCAGTCAGCATTAGTCCATTCTTTGTAGCACCAAAAATATCAGACAATTCCTTTATAGTAGGACGCGAAGGAAGGAACAACGTAGCCACATAACCTTTCTCAGGATCATCACTCTCCTCATCTTCCGTACAACTACTGTGTTCCTCATCTTCAGTACAACCATCGTGATGAGATGTAGCATCATCAGCATCTTCAACACATTCCCCATAGTCAGAAGAACTATCAACACCACTACATGACCCATTACAAAAATCTTCCACCGACATCTTTGAGTCTCTGAGAACTCGAATGTGGTGAGAAGAAGCACCCGATTGCAACCTCGTAGCCTCTCTGTCTACATGCAACTCTTCCACCCCACTCAGCCTATTGAACCTCTCAACAATATTGTGAATGATTTTATAGCGGTATTGAACAGGGATTGAGGGTGAGTGGAGACGGAATAAATAGGGAAATTGGGTTAATTGCTGTTTACACCCTGGCCTTGGAAAAACCCTTCCGCTACTCTATGCAATACTGATTTTTTGGTATTTGTTTCGATATTGATGAGAGGGCGAAAGTAGGTTCCCACAATAGAATACGTTAAAAACACTGCCTTGGAAACCATCATGCACCGCCCAATGGTTTGCTTGTATGTCACAGTGAAAAAACAGAGTAGCCTGCATGGAGTGCAGAGAAGGGAAGAGTTAGCAGAAGAGTCAAAATGAAATGTTTTATTGATTGTGTTTGTTGATTCAGTTTGGGCCTGGATTGTTGTGAACCGTTACTCCAACCAATAATTAAACATGCACACCAAGCATACCCAATTATCTCACCTGTGCCTGTCATTAAAATTTTGTTGGGTTTCCAAATGAAAATTTTATGACGATTTTAAGTGATTTCGATAAAAAAAGAAAAAATATTTTATTCAGAATTTTTTACTATTTTTTTTATTTGAAACCATAAATTAGCGAATATAATACATGTATTCAGACATATTTATTGTGGATTGAAAATAAACCAGAAATAATTATCTCATATCTCTTAAACATATTTTTACTCATGTTGTCTTGTAAAAAAAATTGAAATAAAGTATGAGGTAATCAAAAAAAAAAATGAAATAGAATTATAATTGTATTCATTCGTTTCAGAAGATGAAAATAAAGAAAAAGTATTATCTTTAAGATAGTAAATATATTAATAAAAATAAAATAATTATATATTTATTTTTGAAAAAAAAATTAAATATGTGATTTTGGAAGATATATTTTTTCTATATTTATTATTCTTTACTCCTCATGTATGAATAAAACATGAAAGAATAATGATTAGTGGATTATCTTAAAAAAAACACTTCATACTTATATTATATTGATATAACAATAATAATAATAATAATTATAATAATAATAGAAATAATAAATAAAAATAAAAAGATTGTCATTAGTTGTGTTATAAATTCATTTTATTTTATTTTTTTCACTAGATGAGAATAAACTTTTTTTTTCACTTTTATTATAAGGTAAATATTTCTTCTACACATTTCTTATATTAATATTTTTTTACGCACATAACATATATCTAATTTGAACATCAGGTAACAACTATTTTACTTAAAAAAAGTGAGATTTAGTCGCATAACAAAGAAATCAATGCGTAAAGTGATATAATCCCATACATACATAGTGTAGCATTCAGAAGCAACTAAGGCACTTTGTTAATTATTATTCTCAATTTGTGATTGTGATTCATTTGTCAAGCTCGTTTAAGAAATATCTAAATTTAAATCTGACAATGAACATTAGATTGAGTAAACTTTGCAAGAGTTAACATTGTTGTTTGTACCATTTACTCTCATTTGCAATATGCAAGAACCATTGAGCACAAATCTAATACAGAATGATGAAATTAGTTATCACCTATGTCCCTCTCATTTGAATATCCTCCAATTTCTGTTTCTATTTTTATTTCTGTTCCTCATTACAGTCTGAGTAATGGGAAAAGAGACCAGTTTCTGACTCCAAAACTTCATGTCCTCTTTCCCCAATTTGGAACTCAAAATCAAAACAATCCCAAACAAAAACCCTAAAAACCATTCTCTCACCGCTTTCCGTCCCAACAGCAACCGAATAAACGAAATCGCAGCGAGACAAAACGACAAAACCCTTAAAAACAGGTCAAATTCTCGAATCTTCCAAGACCACAAACCGCCTGCAACGCAGATCAAAACGAATACGAACCATAGCGATTTCTTCTTCTTCGCCCTCCATCTGCCAGCTATTTTCCCTCGCCCGCCACCGACTAGGTGGCTCAGAGTATCACAATCCCCACGGGAGATTTCACCGGCGATGGAATTGAAAGGCTCCGGCAAGATCTTGAGATTGAATGCAACGGTGGAAGCCAGTTGCAGAATTGCTGGATTGGATGGTTGGAACCAACCGCGTCTCTTAGCGCATGTGATTGTGAGAGATGGATGCGGTTGCGAATGGCGGAGCGAGAAAGGATTGAGGATGCGAGAATTGACATGAATTAAGGAGATTGAGAAGCAACAGTCGGTTCTGCAGACGTAGGGTTTCACTTTCAGCATTGTAGTGTGGTGACCGTTACAATAGGAGAGGAAGGAAGAAAGGTATATTTATTTTGTTTCAAACCCCGAATTCAATTTTTGAATGTATTTCAAATTCTACTGTAGTTGAGTATATTCTTGAATTGTCTACAAGACAAATCAATTTTTCATAAACAAAATAAAATAAGATAAAAGCATTTACAGTTTTTTTTTTTAAGTTTTACTTAAAATGAAAATTATATTTATTTGTTTGAAGGGAAAATAATATAAAAATATTATTTTTCAAATAATAAGTAAATAGTTATATAATTATAATGTTAAATACGTGGATCCAATTGAAAATAGACTATAAAATATTTTAAATTTACTCAAAAGTAAAATATATATAAAATTAAGTAAAAAATTACATTTTTGTTATTTTCTATAACAAGTTAAAGAAATATTTTATTTCTGTTATTTTCCTGAGTCATGTTCACCTTACATCAATTTAAACGAACGAAATATAGACAAAAGTTTAGAGAGAAATCGAATTAAAATATAACTTTTTATTTTTAACACTAATGGCAAGTCTCTTGAATAATTTTTTTAACAATGATTGAAGTTTATTCTAATAATAGTGGACTGATTGGAAAAATTTAAAAAATAAGTCAAATTAATTATAAAATTTATGACTTGAATTAAATCTGTTAGATTAAAAAATTTACGACTTAAATTAAATTATTTTTTTATAGGATTAATCTATTACTTATATAGATTTAGATTGAATTAGTCTGAATATTATTATATAGGTCTGTTCTATATAATAATTATTATTTTTTAAATAATATTATTTTATTAAAAATATATATATATATATATTATAAATTAATTTAATAATAAACTTATTTATTTTAAAAATAAAATATTATAATAAATTTTTAATAATTAAAATTACTTATTATTTTTATCAATAAATTATTAAAATTAAATAATAATAATAAAATTTAAATTTTTAAATTTTTTAAGATGAGATGGATTCATTATTTAATAATTTATATATTAAAAAAATTCTCTCATGAATCTAACTGTTATTCTTTTCCATCTTAAAAAAAAACATTTATTTAAAATTAGTCTAATTAGTCTATTCCCGTCTTATAGAAATTATTGAATAAATCAACTAAATTGGTGTATTTCTCCACCTCATATTTTCTCTCGCTTGATATCTATTTCATCCCTTCTGAAATTGATTAATGACCACATACCAAGAATGCCATATTTAGGTGCCATCTATACATTAACAAAATATTATCCATTATAAAAAGGTACATATTAAAGCAATTTGGTTTGATCAAATTTTCTTGTCTTCAATATAAAATACTTAATAAAAGTCTTGCAAAAATTCACATGAATACTATTTTATTTTAAATATGTCTCACAGTATAATATTATTCTTAAATAACTCATGTTATATTTTTATAAAGTTTATATAAATGTTAAGATAAATTCATATATTTATAATTTTTATTTGTTTTTTTTTATAATTTTAAAATAAATTCAATTATTAAAATTGTATTTCTAATATTAAGACCTAATTGATAATCAAGAAAAAGTGCATCCCAATATATATATATAAAGAAGCTTTCCTTTGTTTTTATTCTGGGCCATGGATGTTAGAAGCTTGAACAGAGTTTCCTGACCGCAGAATCATGAGGCTAGAATCGGTTTGGGTTATTTGATACAACCTGCAGGAAACAAGTTCTTAATTGATGAAGGTGACACCATGAACAAGTCTCTAGTTTTGTTATCAACTAGTGGATGAGAGATTACAGTGCCTCTTCTCAACTCCAATATTCCAATTGCTCTTCAACAATCCACTTCAATGTCATAAACACCATAGTTATACATGCACCAACAGAAGGACACGACCATTTTTTTTTTCTAACAAATAACTAAGTCCTGCATCAATCCATTAAATTCACAAGGATAACATCATTGATCATATTAATTAGGGAACAATGACCCTTCCACTCTTGTTCTAAAAGCAGGACATGGGCATTACACTTTTTGTCTATATATTCTCCACAATCCATACTGAACCTCTTCATATAATTTAACCTCTTAAAGGTAGGAAAGATGAAGAAGAGGTTTGATTTTGCAGTGGTTGATAAAACCACAATGGAAAGTGAAAGTGTTGAGTGTGAAAGTCCGTTGGGAGAGAAGTGTCACCGATGCATCGATCTACCACCCAATGTTCCTGTTCTTGCTCATTCCTTAGAACGCACACAACGAAACTGGTAAATTAATGTTTCTCACTCCTTCCAAACAAAGTCAAAAATATAAATATGTGTATCCTTGTTTGTTCTTGCATCAGAGGATTTTCAATTGTGTTTTCTTTTGGGAATGCCTATTGGTTTTTGAGAAGACAAAGTATATTTTTCTGAAATGCTGGTTGACTTTACAGGGACTTTGTCTCTTCAATTATGTCTGTGATTTGTCTCATATACTTGATGCAGGATTGCTAGGTCAAATTCCCCTACTGATTTAATTATACAAATTGGTGATTCTAGCTTCCACTTGCACAAGGTGGGTCAATCACTCCTTTGATTATATGGGAATTTACATTTGTTTTTGTCATACTATATTACTGATTAATTGTAATCTGTTAACTCTACCTTTTCGAAGTCAAGGTGCTTCATAAATATGCTAAGAAAAGAAATTTTATCTGCTTACGGTGTGGTTGATTTTCAGGTTGCCATGGCCTCAAGAAGCGAGTATTTGAACCGGCTTGTATTTGAGAGGGGAAGCAGCAGAGAAAGTGGAGGTGATAGCCTCATCATCCAAATTAAAAATCTTCCAGGTGGTAAAAAATCTTTTGAATCCATACTCAAATTTTGTTATGGAAGGAAATTTGATATAACTGCATCCGACATTGTCCCATTGTATTGTGCTGCACATTTCTTGGAAATGAGTGAAGATCTCCAAGAAGGAAATCTCATATCCAAGACAGAAGCATTTCTCTCCCTTCTCATATTATCTTCATGGAAAGACACATTTCGAATACTTAAAACCACTGAATCCATTTCCCATTGGGCCAAGGACTTACAAATTGTCAAACGTTGCTCTCAGGCAATAGCTTTGAAAGTATGTGCAAATCCAAATGCATTTAGTTTCACTAGTCAAAATGAAAGACCCTTCAGTAAAACTGATAGTAGTGTTGGTAATTGGTGGTTTGAAGATGTGTCACTTCTACGTATAGATCATTTTATTGAAGTGATTCAATCAATCAGAAGATGTGGAATTAGACCTGAGCTTGTAGGTTCTTGTATAGAACATTGGACAAGAAAATGGTTTTCCCAAGTCACACTTGGACTCGACAAGGAGACTCCTAAACCCATAACAATCCACTTACACAGAATTTCCATCGAGTGTTTGATTAACATACTTCCTACAGAAGAAAACTCAGTTACATGCAATTTTTTGCTTCACCTACTAAAGGCAGGGGTGATGCTGAAAATAAATCCTGAGTTGTTGTGTGTGCTAGAAAGAAGGGTAGCTTTAATGTTGGAGAAAAGTCGTGTTCCTGATCTCTTGGTTAAAAACCAAGGAGAGAAACATTCTTCGTATGATGTAACTGTGGTACTTAGGGTGTTACGGTTTTATGTTTGTGGCATCTCAAGTAATCATTCAGCAAAAACAAAAGCAAAACCCCAGAGTGTTGGAAGGTTAGTTGATGGCTATCTCACACAGGTTGCAAGGGATGAGAATCTCACAATGGAAAGTTTCAAATCACTTGTTGAAGCATTGCCACAAAATGCTAGACACACTGATGACAGCCTCTATAGAGCCATTGACATGTACCTCAAGGTAATAGTGCTCATATTCTTAAATCATTTCCAATTCTAAATATCTAGCTCAAGATCTATCTTTGTAGAATGTGTATAGTTTTAATCAACTTACATAGATATAGGTGGTTTTGCTTTGCATAACACCGAGACTAATTTTGCAGGCACATCCCAATTTAACAGAAGAAGATCGAACTGATATTTGTAGAAACTTGGAATACCATAGATTGTCACAAGAAGCACGTAAGCATGTGATGCAAAATGATAGGTTGCCCTTGAAATTAACTACTGAATTTGTCCTTTTAGAGCAAGTGAATATGACAACATCAATGACAAGTAATGGATCAAATTACCTAAGGACTAATACTCAGACAATCATGAGAGTGAACAAAGATTTGGAAAAAAGAGCAATAATAAATGCCCAGGAGATAAACATGATTAGAAAAGATGTTGAAATGATAAAATCACAACTCTTGGAAGTACATAGCTGCAAATTAAAGCTCCAAAAGCAACTAAAGGGATGCTTTCGTTGAAAGAGAGTTAGTTCATTATGTTAAAATACTTTCATATATCTTCTTGATAGACTGATGAAATGATGTACAATATAAAATGCCTCTTAAGGTTTCTCTGAGAATAATGTAAGAAATTTGAATTCAGTGGTAGCTATATGTAAAATACAAATGTCTCATTTAGGTTGCTCAATTCCACTGCACTCGAACCCCATTACTGAAATCATTTACAGGGTAATAAGTCTTAACTCTTTAGTCATACTAATTATTTTTTTATGAAAAAAGTCAAACTATTGAAACTATGTATATCTATATTATATGACAAAACTTAAGCTCATGGAAACAATTGTAAATGTGTTTTTATTTAATATAGCATTCTAATCAAATGGTTGCTTAAGGTTATTGGGCATTATTTCAATTTTTTTATTTTTAGTACTAAAGTTAGAATCTATAACTTTATATATATTAATAAAATATTTTTACTATTAAGTCCAAAGTTTCATATTAAAAATGTTGAAACCATGATAAGATAATATAAAGTTTTATCTCTCAAACAAATACTATTTCATTTGTTTCTTATAAAATTGTCATGAAAAGAATAATACTGAACAATAAAAATATAAAAAATATTAAAAGTATGTCAGGATTATTATGAAGAAACACTCAAGTTAGATATTGGGCACCTTCTTAGAAGTTGAATGGACCAATCATCCCTCCAAAATTTTATAATTTTCATATAATTTATAATTTTGGTCCCAAATTTAATAATTATTTAATATATTTATTTATATATTTATAATTTTATCTTCTAAGTTTCTACTCTTTTATATAATTTATGATTTTAACACCCTAAATTTAATTATCATTTAATATATTTATTTATATATTTACAATTTTATCTTCTTTTATTCTTTTTATATTTATTTATTATTTATTAATAATATATTATTTGACTCCAAAAATTAATGGTCAAGGTCTAGATCTTAAGATAATTTATTTTGTTTAAATTATTCAAACATTACATTAAATTAGTAAAATATATAAATTATTTACATTTAAAAGTAAACAAAAAAAATAGTTAAATAAAATCTAAGCAGTTTCAATGTTAAACTCTAAAATTTTAGATGTAATAAAAATAATTTTACTATAAGTTTTATTAACTTGTGAATTTAAAATATGGATGTGAAGATATAATAACTATATTCATAAGTTGGCTCATCACGCGTTAAGTATAAAATAAATTAGTTCTATCTGACTTGAGTTAAAAATTTTATAATTTGACTTAACTCATTATGGATTGATGGGTTAACTCATTAATTCATATTTATTTTTTTTATTTTTTATTTTTTTATTCTAATAAATACGATTAAATAGTGAGATTGAGATGCAATGACATGGTAACGTAACAAATACAATGGTGTAACTTTAGCACGGTGACGTGGTGTTGCGACAAATAAAATAGTGTGAGGAAAATGATAAAAGTGGTGTGATTAGAACATAGAACTGAAATGTTCTAGTGCAATAACATGACGGCTGAAACGCATTTAATATATGGGTTTAATTTTAACTCATTATAATTAAAAATAAAAATAAAAAAATCAAATCCAATCGATTTTAATGTATGATAAGTCCAGTTGACTTAGGAGTTATATACCCAACCGCTGTAATTTAACACTATCCAATAAAAAGAATTAAATAACATAGTAAATTATAAAATCTTTTCTATACAAGTTTTAAAATAGTTATAACAAAGTTTAATTATCTTACTATAATATCTGTGAGAAAAGCGTGTGCATCAGAAAGAGAAGTAGGCTTGGAAACAATGGAAGATGACGCAGCGATTGGGGTGAGCGACCATGTTTCGTCGGAGTCGAATTTGGAGGATTCCAGTTGCTGTTGCCCAATCTGCTTGGGGCCATTCATTCAACTTTCTTACCTCGACAAATGTTTTCGTATGTTTACTCATTTTCTCAATAACAATCTCATGTCTCCCTTCTGTTACACGATCATGGTAGCTTTTCTGTCTTTTGAATTCCAAAGTTTGTAAATTTGTTGCATATGGTACAGACCCGTTATTGGGTTTGGCTGATTGATCGATGATATGGTTGCATGCCCTATTTTGTAGTCTTGGGAAACCTTTTTGTTCGAAAATCACTCTCGGAAAATTTATATCAAGAAAAATATTTATTTTATTGGGACCATTACTTGAGAGTTCAGATTCAAGAAACAATTGGAGGCGAATGTACCATAGAACTCGTACAGCTATTATATGTTATTATTCCTCCTGGCTAACCATTAAGCTTATTCTTGTGGCAGATAAGTTTTGCTTCAATTGCATTTTACGCTGGACCAATGTGGTTGCTGGCAAGCACCGTTCTCTTCCTTCTTCTGTGAAATGCCCTCTTTGTAAGGTTTGGTAAATACCATCAGTTATCAACTTCTGGAACACCGTATATTTTTGTGCATTATTATTATTGTTGTTGTTGTTGTTGTTTTGCCATATGAACTTTGATGAAGTATAAATTATTCATTCCATTTTACACCCTTTAAAAAGAAGTTCAATTTAGGACTCTTAAGTGCTTCTTCAATTTACTGCACCCTGAATGATTCTTATGGATGTCAAAATTTGCAAGGATAATGATTTATGATAATCAAGTGGTTGAAGGGTAATAGAAGTTAGTATCAAGCTGGATAAAGTGAGCTGCTGACTTCTTAGTTTATGTTTAATACGCAGACAGAAAATGTTTCTATCGTGTATGGAGGGGAAGGAAGTAGCTTTCAGCGGCACTATGTAAATAAGGATTTTGAGGATAGGTTTGTCTCAGTTTCATTTCAACTTAAAAAATTTGGTAGAATTATCTTTTTATACTTTGCTCTTCTTCTGTTTGTGTGTGCAGTTTTATCTTATCAAGAGCGCACAGATATAGATTACAATGCTATTACACTGACCAAGGTGTTTGTCCTACTGCCTTCCGTTTAACAAATTTCAATGACATAATGGCGTCTGTCTGTTGTCCTTTGGCTTGTGTCAAATATTTGTTATTGATAATTTTATGTTACCTTTTATGAACTCGGTGCGAGCAGGTTTGTTAGATGACATATTCAATATATCACAATATTGGAGATCTCGTAAGTACACTCAGCCAAACTGCTGGCTTGAAAGTTGGTTAAGAAGAGAAATTCAAGCTCTTATCCAGGTCAGTGAATTTATCAGATTAGTGACTTATTGGTGCATTCTCTCTCAGGCCTTTACACTGGAAAAATATCCAGTAACATTATGTGATTTATCTGTTACCCGTATATTGAATCACATTTGGTTACGTTTGCTTTGGTGCTACTGTATGTATGTGCCTAGTTATAGCTGAAAATTTCTGATTCTTCCATATCCTGTCTTCTCTGTCTTTTAATCAGTTTTTGCTTGGGGAAGGAGGAAAAAGGGGAAGGGGATTGCTATAGTAATTGCATAGCTGTGTTAATTCTTTACTTAAACCTTCTTTTGCTGAATCTGTAGGAGAAGGATGTTGACATCATTATGCACCATATACTTGGTGTGGTCAAAGCAGCATTATGGACAAGGTAAGATTCTTTGTGCATTTATGCCGCTTTAACATAATTAGTGTGAAAAAATGGGTGGTGACTATTAACTGTTGAATTTTCAGGAAAGAGCAGAAGTCACACATGAATTCACCTGAAAAGAAACAGGAAGAGTTCAAGATGTCAGTCTCTGAGGCTGCAAGGCGGTTTCTGGCTGCAAAAACGGACAGATTTGTGTATGAGATTCAACTATTTCTTGCTTCAGGAATGAATATTGAAGCTTATGATGCTGTGTACATACAACGGTTAGGTTGGAGCTCACCCGGGATAAACACTGAGGTTTCGCACAGTGCATTAGTTGATCGCACAACTGTGATTCCATACCTGTACATATTTGATGGTGACTCTGATGAGAATGAGTAGATTCTTTGGTATTTTCTTCTCATTTATTTGCTGTAATTCCTTCCCAAATAGCATAGGAGAAAAAATTTCTTCCATCACTGAGTGGTATTAACACATGGTTGTTATTAATATACCAATTTTCATGTTCTAACTTCATGCGGTTGAAACAAAACAGGGGAGGCTACTCTTTCAACGTGTTAAAACTCGATTCTTTAAGCTATTACCAGCTAACAAAATTTACCCACTTTAAAAAATGAATAAATGAACAAAGCATTTACTCACTTGATTATTGGATTTAATGTTTCATATGGACTGTGATCCAATAGAGTTTGAAACATGTGATCGTCTCCACTCTGCGACACAGCACAAATAAATGAATCAACATGAATGGATGATGTCTTGTCTATAAAAAAAAATGGGAGTTTCAGTCAGGATGGTACCTACTAAAGGATTGACTAGGAGGATAATATTTGTTTATATGTATTTTTTTAAATACATTTTTAATTATATAAATATTTTTTATATATTTTTTTATTAATTATTTTATTAGATAAATAAAAAATTATTATAATTATGTATTAAAATGTTTAATTATAATTAATGATTTAAGTTTAATCTATTAATACTTATAATTTAAATTATAATATATTTATATAATTTAATAATAGAATATAATTTTTTTAATTATAATTTTTTTATTTTAATTTTAATATATAAATATTTAAAAAAAAGAGCCATCGTGTTTCCTCAATTTGAAACAGACAGGTCTAACACATTTTAACATCCTAATAAAAACTAAAATAAAATAAATTAAATGGTTTTTAAACTTAAAAACAGCAAAAGTAGACTCGGATTATAAGAAAATATGTTAAATATTTAAATGGTTGGTTAGTATAAGACAAATGTTGTGTGACTGATATTCGGATTGGCCAATAAAGTTTGTAGCCTTATCTTTATAAGAATCATGGAGTAAAATAAAGTGCTATGAAAATTATACTGACTTGAGATGCCCTTCAATCGTCGTTACTATTAGCATCATCATACGTTAGTGGTTTGTAAACGTGAGAGAGGAACTTTACAACAGGCATGGAGACAGCCTCAGATGACTACGGAGCATTCATGGAGAAATTCACTTTACCACCAAATTCTGCACCCGATCTTCCTCTCAATTCACTCACCTTTGCTATCAAAGAGATGTATGTATTTTTCCTTTCGAGTGACAACATTCTGTTGTCAAAATTCTACTTTGCTCACGTCAAGTCAGCTACACTTCGATCAATGCTTCTGGTTGTTGAACTTGAAGGAGTTGTTTTTGTCAAACAGATTTGATGTGGAAGGATATGTGACTGGCTTCGGGAACCCTGGCTGGGCAAGGACTCATCCGGTGGCCACTTCTACTGCTCCAACAGTTTTGGCTCTCCTCGGAGCAGGTGCCACTTGTGTTGGTAAAACTGTCATGGATGAAATGGCTTATAGGTTCGCTATTCTTTGCTTATATTTTTCGCTCGTTTTGAAAGTCACCGGGTTCTGTTCTAATAGTCATAAACACCACTAAATAATATGTTGTCAAAAGTGCTTAACGGAGATTGTAGGTTTAATGAGCGTCGTTTAAGAATGTTTAGCATTCATATACCTCTTTATATTTGTAATCGTTATAACCTCCAGAGTTAAGTCTTTAAAATATCAATGAATATACGGCAGAAAATAAGAAAGATATAATCAAAATGTATATGTATGAAAGAAGAAGAATAGTGTGGAAGTGTATCTCTCTAATATTATTATTGGATTACGAATTTATCACAATGGATGATGGCTAATATGAGGTAGCAATTACAGAGTAGGGAAAACGAAACTTGAACCAGAAGAAATATCCGAGAGAGATGCCTCACGTAGAGTACACCTCCTTCCCTGGTCGTGCGGACCCTCTTATCATTTCCATTGTTTACAGTGTTGTCCTAAGTGTTTAGTGCAGATTGAATCCTTCTTGAGGGCCTTTTACAAGTAATTAGTAATATTCATGTAACTCTTTATATTGGTAACCGTCATAGCATTTTAAGAATTAATTATCGATAAAATTTGTAACTTTTAGAACTTTGTAAGATTCAGTCTAGAAAATGTTTATGAATTTACTGCTGAAAGTAAGAAAAAATTAATCAAAACAGGGAATAATTTAGTTCCAAAATTTCTTCCTCTTATTTTAAATTTTCTGCACAGTGTATAATTCATCATTAAAATTAGTTTCTTGATTGTTAGATATCAACACTCTTTGAATGCCACCAACTAGCACTATCTTTTAGTAGCTAGGGACCTTATTTTATGACTAGGTAGAATTTAATATTAAAAGTGTAACTATTATCTATCATTTTCATGTAAACTGTGATTTGTTAGTATAAATCTTGGAGTTGGAAGTTACATAGCTTTCGTAACTTTCACTCACTAAGTAGATCATGTGGAAAGGACAAGGTTCCCCAATGATTAAGATGTCTCTAAAGTATGCAAGTAAGATTGCACTTCATTTAAATGGATACTTGCTCACTTTTCCCATTTTGATTGAGCTTTCTCCCTACAGAAACTACGACTGCCCATTTTTTGTCTGTTACTCACATAACCAAGTACTCTTATGTGGCAGTATAAACGGGGAGAATATACATTATGGCACACCTAGAAATCCTTGTGCAGCAGACCGGGTTCCTGGAGGATCTTCTAGTGGCTCTGCTGTTGCAGTTGGTGCAAAACTTGTTGATTTCTCAATAGGTGATCTATTCTTCCTATCCATTAGTTAATTTTGGCAACACTTTGTTAATAATTTCAAGTGCTTTTATGTTTTCCTGAATAGTGAGCTATTCTTCTTTTCCCTTGAGTTTAATTTTGGCATCACTTAATAATTTGAATGAAATGCTCTTTTTTAATCATAGGAACTGATACCGGAGGGAGTGTAAGAGTGCCTGCATCATACTGTGGGATTTTTGGTTTTCGTCCTTCTCATGGTGCTATCTCAGTCTCAGGAGTCATCCCTATGGCACAAACTTTTGACACTGTAGGTAATAATCAACTAACTTGATTACTATGTTAAATCTCTACTTTTCGGTGCAATGCATTACTACAGAGGATAATGGAGAATGACAATGCACAAACGCATCAACATTGATGATTGTACTAATAATACTTTTCATGACTTTTCTTATTTTAAAACATAAACTATCATAATGACATTGTGATTAGATAGTCTCTTGGATAGTTAGTTATCAGTTTCTCTTAGAATTTACAATGAATAAGAGTTTCTTTATTCAATCCAATGCTTTGAAATTTACACAACAATTTATGTAAAACATTTTACTTCATGGTTCTAATACTTGTTTTTCTTTAGTTATCCTGTTAAAAAGGGTATTCATGATCTTCAACAATATGCAGTTAGCTATGAATTTTTTCCTCTAAATTTGAAGTTTGAATTTTCCCTTTTTATAGATTTCATCTCCTAGTGGTATGGTGTACAAGTAGTGGTGTTGAAATTATAGCTTCACTAGCTGTTGAGCCCTTCTCGGTACTCATTTTCTTGTTCCCTATCTTTATATCTAGGATGGTTTGCCAGGGATCCAGTAACTTTGAGCAAAGTAGGAGGTGTACTTCTACAATTGCAAGATCTAGCACCAGTTAGACCTTCTGGCTTCATCATTGCAGAGGACTGTTTCCAGCTTTCAACCATTCCATATGATATAGTTACACAAACTGTCGTGAAAGCAGTAGAGAAGTTATATGGAGGTGAATGACCAGATAGATTCGTTGCTGTCTAAACAATGTTATTAATTGCTAATTATAAAACAAGATTTCAGGATATGAGTCCTAAATTATGCCGAATTTCTTGTTCTCCCCCCTTTTAATTTAGCTATAAATCTACTTGTGGTTTCATCCCATTAATGATGTATGATATGTACTTTGGAACAAGTAAATTTTACTAAGAGAGGGGATCTACTTGTTGTATCCACTATTGCAGGGGATGTATTAAAGCTGGAGATCCTTGGAGACTATGTGAAGACCAATGTTCCAAGTTTGAAACATTTCATGAGTAAAGATAATAAAGATCAAATACAGAACATTCCATCACTGTCTGCACTTTCAAGTGCCATGCGCTTGCTTCAAAGGTGTAGCTCACCATTTAATCCCTTGTTTCAGTAAAGATAATTGGAATTTTCTAGAGGATTGTGGATTGCCTTGGATTGAAGTTTGATTCCAGCTTTATATTTCATTTGTAATGTAGGTATGAATTCAAGAATAACCATGGTGAATGGATTACTGCAGTCAAACCAGATTTAGGTCCTGGAATCTCAGAACGAGTATCAGATGCCTTAAAGACAACAGGGGAGAACATTGATATCTGTTATTCTGTAAAAAGGGAACTGCACGATGCTTTTGCTGCTCTTCTTGGGGTATGCATTCTCCCTCACACAGAGGCATGCACACAGACATAGTACGATTTTTGGAATCCCCGTAATTTGCTGATACACAGCATATTTCAACATTTGAACATGAGTTATATGTTCATCAGGCGATATTTGTATACATGCTTGTATGCACAAGTCATTCCTCCTGACATAGACTCTCCCCTTGAGTCTTCACAAAAGGAAGCTTCTTTATATTTTTGTCCATGGAGAAAGAATTTCAAACATGCCAGCAAACTTTTTCATTTGCCAGAAATAACAATTACTCTTTACTTTTATTTTTCATCATCTAGCTTGACTGTGTTTGTTTTCGAAACAATCTAGTTCAGCAAACGAAGATTATAGATTTTCCCTATGAATCTCTTTTGTAACAATAAAAGGAGTATAGTCATTAAGCAACAAATTTATTTTTACAATAAGCTTTCCTTTGTACAAGTTAATATAATAATTTGTGTCTGAAAATTTCAGGATTTTGGTGTTCTCATGATCCCCACAGTTCCAGGGCCTCCCCCAAAACTACAAACAAATACATCTGAATTAGAAATATTTCGTGCATGGGCTTTTAGCCTGCTGTCCATTGCTGGAGTATCTGGGTTTTGTCAGGTTCTCCCTTTCTCTATGTTTATGAAGCACTTGGACTCCTCCTATATTTTCCTTAATCAATTAAACTTCATGTCAGAATATTATAACAATGTGGTATTTCCTGACATTATGTAGGTAAGCATACCACTAGGGATGTATAATAATCTTCCCCTATCAATATCTCTGGTGGCCAGACATGGTGCAGATAGATTTTTACTTCACCTTGTTGAGAGTCTTTATGACAGCATTAAAGAATAGAAAGCATCATAGCAGAGAGCACAAGTTTCTTTAATTTGACTATAAGGATATATAGTTGTAAGTTCTATTCTTTTACCAAAACCTGGAAAATAAAATTTATGGAAGCTTTGAGATCTCTGTGCAATATAGATATTTTAGTCCCTCTTTCTATGTGCCTGTTTGAGCAAAAAGTGAAAGTCAGAGATAAACTAAATGCTTTCTGTTTCTTTCTGTCTATACCCTATACATTCCCATTTTTTGCAGATGCTTTGAGTATGCATACTATGCCAAAGCTGGGAGAGAAGCACAACCCGAACTATGGACATAAATCAAAGGAGGAAAAACTGTATAAAGGATATTCTTGCTTATCTGAATCCTGTTTCTTTCATATATTATAAAGTTCAATTATTCGTTTAAGTCGTAATATATTCTGCTTATGCTTGCTTGGCTATCAAAGCAAATTATGCCACATTGAAATTGATTGTTGTACTATATAATGTTAACACGTGATCAGTTGTTGACGCATTTGATATTCAGGAGTGCTAGTTAAGTTTTATAGGAACCTCACAGGGATACTTGGAGAGCACCATCCATTTATCACACACTCTGTCTTCTAATCTTGAATTTGGCGGGCATGTCTTCAAATGTGAAGTTTAGTTGGAACTTTACTTTGCCACACTTCATCCAGACATGATCTTTATATATGCAGGAGAGTCCGTAGGCGCTAGAAAGGCACTATTCAACTTAGAATCTGGTATAAGTCAAGTAAAAATTAAATTTTTGGCCAAGTAAAAATGAATATTTGTTGGCATGTTGATTGTGATTAGACCGAGAAGCTTGATGATATGAATAAATAAAAATCAACATTTAACAGCTAATATTTTATTTTTTTCACTAATTTCGATTCTTAAAAAACATTATTTTCATTGAAAATTAATAAAAAGTACTTAAACATATAATCATAAGTATTTTAGAAGAAATATCATAAAATAAAAATGAAATAATATCTAAGTGCAGTACATTTTTGTTCCATTCGAAGAGGAGTACTATCTGTGTTTTTGTGTTAACTCAAATAAACTAGAAGGTAGAGTGGATATTATACTTTTAAGACAGAATGTGTAACCAATTTATTTGTTTTAGGAGTGGAACAGTTGGAAGCCACTGAAATTTTTTGTGATTAATTTATTGCGGTACTGATCTTGTGTTACGTAACGGCTGAAAGTTATGATCATAATACTTTTTTATGGCTGATTTCTTTTTTTGTGGTCTTAGTGCATCGGATATTTCTCTTCTCTTGTAAGTTAGAGGAAGCAAGAAATACACTATCGTTCTAGCTCGGGAGATATTGGTTTCATTCGATTAAGTAGAATGTAAACCTCTATGAGAAGACAAGTTTAGAAAGCTTAACACATAACCCAACTTTATTACATGATTTTACTCTTTTTCATGTATTTCGCTACAAAGACTTATTTTATTAGGGTTACTGGTACGTTCAAAAGTGGATAACGTCCTCATCCTCCAAGCTCCACAGAGAGGAGCTGATTAACACAAAACGTAGCACTGTACTACATCAGAGTATCACTGATGCAGTTTAACCATTGACAATGGTTCCACCTGAAAATGCACATGCCATGTTAATTAGTAACCAACTAGAGTAAAGAACTATGTAATGTGCATATAATTAGATATGGTTGTGGTGAAATATAAACATTAAGTAGTGTTACCATTGGGGTGAAGGACTTGTCCAGTTATGTAAGAGGAGCATTGGTTGGAAGCAAGAAAAACAAAAGATGGTGCAACCTCAATAGGATGACCAGCTCTCTTCATTGGTACTTGACTTCCAAATTGTGCAGTTTCCTCCTCCTTGAAAGATGATGGTATCAATGGTGTCCAAATGGGCCCTGGAGCCACCCCATTGACCCGAATTCCCTTATTAACCAGCTGAAGGGAAAGCCCCCTTGTAAAGGCCACAATTGCTCCCTTAGTGGAAGTGTAATCCAGTAGTTTCGCATTTCCCTTGTATGCATTCACTGATGTCGTGTTGATTATGCTGCTTCCCTCCTTCATGTGCTTTAAAGCATGCCTACGTAACAAAAACATGTCATTTTATACTTTCTATCACATCATTCATCATTTATAACTGATTATTTTACCTGGTCAAGAAGAAATAGGAAAAGATATTGGTTCGGAAGACCCTCTCAAGCCTAGGCTCATCTATTTCCTCCACAGTTCCACACTCGTATTGCTCAGCTGCATTGTTGATCAGAATGTCAATACGACCAAAAGCACTCACCACCTCTTCAACCACCCTCTTGCAATTCTCATCATAACCCAAATCAGTTGGTATGGCCATTGGATCCTTGGCATCCGCAGTCTTGCCCCTCCTTATCATTTCCAGAGTGTCCTTGGCATCTTTATCCTCTTGCCCCTTCACATATGTGAAGGCCACAGTTGCACCTTCTAACGAAAACAAGTTAGACACAGCTCGTCCAATCCCAGAATCACCACCAGTAATTAGTGCAATCTTTCCCTGAAAAAGGAATTTCAAATTTCTATACAGAATGAATACAGTGACACCAATCAAACGGGCAAGCACCATTCTTTTCTAAACTAAAAATTATTAGAAAAAGGATTGATTTTTCTTTTAAACAGTATAAATATGTATAAAATGATGATGCAGTTGTGTTTCTACTTGAAGTTTATTTGAAGGCTTGTAGTCAGGGCTAGTGAATTGGGGTGTTGGATTCATGACATGTTCCTTCCCAGGCTGTGTTTGTTGTTTCTGAGGGGGGAATTTCTGATCACCGGAAGCCATTCTTAGAAAGAAGGTTCTGGGAACAGATACGTGGAGGTTCAAAGTAGTGGTAGGAAAAGAGTGTTTGTAAATGGTTATCAAGGATCTTGATGATGAAGAAAGGATTGGGCGAAACATGCATATAAAGGAATAGATTTGAAGATGTGAAGAGGTGGATGTGATGTGTTGATTAAAAAGGGGTTTGAAAATGCGACGTGGTGAAGAGTGGCATAAGGAGGTGTTGACGTGTCCTTCCACTCGCATGCACTGGACCCGTCTGAGGAAACGGACATTCTCGACCAACACAAGGTTCTGCTTCTCTTCTTTCTACATTTCTTCCTTTAATGTTTCTTATCCACCATTTTCATTTTCATATTATCATCAACACTTTTTCTAATTATGAATGAATTAAGAATATTTTTATTATACTTATAATAAGTACTTTAAAAGTATTTGATTTACTTGTTTTTCTTAAGAGAAGTTTTTTTTTTATCTTTTCTTAAAAATTCTTTCAAAACCAAAATAACTTATGTTCCGAAGAAATCCCAATAAAGATGAATTTTTAGAGAAGTTATTTGGATAAACTTTCAGAGAATTTATGCCCAATTTTTTTCAACTGTGTCTCACACCTCAATCATTTACCCACACTTCTTTAATATTATTTTATAATATGTTTGTAATACAAGAAGAGTAGCCTTGAATAAGAAAACTTTGCAAGAAGAACCACCATTTATTAAAAGTAAATAAATAGAAAGTATATTTCAACAATGGTTGAATGTCCAACCTTTCCTTTTTTGCCATGATTTGTTATCCAAGCTATGATAAACCCCATCTTCTTTCACCAACCAAAAGATCTTCTCATTGTTTCCTTCTGACTTAGGATCATATGCTAAGAAAGAAATGCAGTTTCCATTCCAATACATCACAGCAGGTTTAGGACCATTGGTGTTGTCAAGTTTAACAAAACCTTGACCAGGAGACAAATAAACCCCATCTTTTTGGTTATTGTAGTACAAGTTCACATTTTTATTGTTAGGAGCCATACCATTTTGAAAGGAAATAGCAAGTATGTTGATGTCTATTTCAGAAGACTGAGGTTGTTCATAATGGGTTGGAGTTGAAACCCTATTCATATCAGAAGAAGATTCGGAATTAGGGTTTGAACAACTCAACCCATTCATCACACACAAGCTAAGAACTACCAAGAGGGGTGCATAAATTGATCTACACATCATGTTTGTGTCTTCTTTTATTGCACCAATTAATTGATCAATAATTTTGTTCTGTTTTCCAATCTCTCTCACTCAATTGCACTTATATACACCTACCATAAGTAGTTTCAATTTAAAAAAAAAAATTACTAAAGTATGGTTCTTTCTTAATCACCATTTTCAACGTCTTTGACTGAAAACGCATGCATCTAAATAACGGTTGCAATATAAAATATTAAACTTTATTATTTCACATTAAATAGATAAAATAAAATATTGCTTTCATTATTTTTTTACTAAATTATACTAGTCTTTCCTGAATTTAAATTAAACAACACTCGTATTTCTTCTAATTTTAAATAGAAATAATACTCTTACTCTTTATAAATTTTAAATAAATATTTATCTTTTTATTATTTTTAATAAATAACACCTATCTAATAAAAAAGAATATTTCTTTATGAAAAATAACAAAGAAAAACATATTTTGAATTTATATAATTTTTATTTAACTAACGAGTATGGCTTTATTAAAAATACTGGGAAACTGACTGTTATTTATTTCAAGAGTTAAGAGATATAAATATCTATTTAAAATTATGAAAAATATAAATATCGTTTTATTAAAAAAGTTTTTTTTTAAAAAAAAACTAAAGAAATGTGCATCTAATTTAACATAAGAGATAAATATAATTTCAGCTCAAATTTTTACTGTGAAATGTCATAATTGAAGACACGAGAATACTCTCAAGCCTTTAAATTAAAGCTCATCCAAAGAGACGAATATTTTCTTTTTCTTTTTCTTTGTTATTTTTATGATTAAATATATTATTTTAAAAAATTGGACCGTATTTATCAATTCAACCGAAAATCAAAATAAAAAGTAATTTGTTGTTTTCCAACAATCAACTTTTAATTAAATTGGGATAAAATTAGAAAAATTCAAATAAAATTAATAAAATTAGATTGAGTTTTTTTAGTTCAACCAATTTTATAAAAAAATATATTTAAATAAATTTTTTTAATATAATTCTTTTTTATAAAAGATTTATTATATTTTAATTTTTTTATCATATTAATTATATTAATTTTAGATAATAGTTATTTTATTATATTTTTATATTATTTTAATAATTATTATTTTTTACTCTTTAATATAATTTATATTTACAACTTTTATTATATCTTACAATCACAATAATTTTTATTATTTTTTCCTTTTATAAAAAATATTATTATTAATAAATTTATTATATATTTATTATATTATAAAAAATAGTTTAATATTAATTATATTAATTTTAGATAATAGTTATTTTATTATATTTTTATATTATTTTAATAATTATTATTTTTTACTCTTTAATATAATTTATATTTACAACTTTTATTATATCTTACAATCACAATAATTTTTATTATTTTTTCCTTTTATAAAAAATATTATTATTAATAAATTTATTATATATTTATTATATTATAAAAAAATTAGTTTATTAAAACTATTAACCATAATTAAACCCCTTTAAATCCGAATTCATATATTCGGTTTAGTTTAAAATCATTGAAAACATCTTAACCTATTTTTAGAATACATTTAAAAATTGAAAAACCAAATATACATTGATAAATTAGGAAAGTTTGTAAAAATAAAAATGAATTTGAGTATTATTTTTAATTACTCAACTATTTCAGTGTAACATCCTTTTTATGTTTCAAAGAAAACGATAAGTTAATTTTATTTTAAAATTCAACATTCACGTTTTAATAATATCATAATTATTGAAATTTAAAAATTTTATATTTATTATTATTATTATTATATTATCAAATAAAATTGTAAAGTAATCGTATGGAAAAAATTAATTATAAGTAAATTAATATTTTTTTAATATTTTAATGATGTATTAAAGAGTAATTTCATAGTTTATTTGACTGTGTTATGTTATAAAAGAGATCTGAAACGCTTAACAGTTAATTTGATAATAATGTATTTATAAATAATAATAATTATTATTATTATTATATAAAGTTTGAGCATTTTAATTGAGAATATAAAAACTAAAAATTAGTTTTTTTTTTAAATTTAAGTGTTATTCGGTATTTTATTCATTTTTTTTCAATTTTTTTTGTTAACGGACTAATTTACATTATTAATTTATTAACTTAAATAAATAATATTAAAATCAATCAAATCAACGTTAATATGACGCTAAATTAAATAAAAACATTAAAAATAATGAAACTATTTTTTTAATATTTATTTATTTATTTAACTTGATAACTAAACTGACGATAATCTAAATAAATAATCAAATTATAAATTAATTCATTTACATATACAAACTAAATTAGATAAATAATTAATGAAAAAAACGCAAAAACTATAGTTAAAAAATAAATCGCCCCATTAACAATGAGGTTTAATATTATTTTTGGTATCATTCTAAATTTTATATAGCTTGTAAGTTGATATCAAGTATAATATGTATACATTATTTATTTTTTTATTAAGGTCTTTTTTATAAATAAAATTGTGACGAATAAAATTTGTAAAGTAACTATTCAATCAAATATTCTTTAAGTATATGATGAATAAAAATTTGGAACAAGATAATATTTCAAACATAAAATTAAAGGTAATATATATATATATATATATATATATATATATATATATCTTTTAATTATAAAAAATTAAAATTTAAAAAATGAAATATTTAAAAAATAAAAATTAATCTGAATAATTATAATTTTATTTTTTGAGTAGATAATTTGACAAGGTGAACAGGAAATTATAAAATGCAGAAATATTTTTTTTAATAATGACCAATAATAATGGAAAATTTTACAAGACTCCAAACACAAAATTAAAAAATATATTTAATGGAAGGTGTGTATTAAAAAATGAATTAGAATGAAAAAAAAAAAACGAGAACTTTTCCAAATCATTGATGCCTAGCTTGTTAATACCACTTTTCCCCGAAGCATAAAGAGTAATGGTGTTGAAGCATCCCTCCTTAGAAGCAAGGTAGCCAAAAAGTAAGGAGAATCTCCCTCTCTCCTCATAAAGCACAAGGACACACTCCTTTACTCATTCTCTTTATCTCTAACAGTCATGCCAAAACGTTGTGTGGTTCGAATTAGTAATTTTAAAAATTAATAACCCACACATACTTTTTGTATTATATTTAGATACACACTGACCTAATTTTCTGAAAGATTAAAAGTATTTTTTTCAAGTATTATTGAAAATATCAAAGTCTTTTTTTTCCCTCTTTTGGATACTGATATTTGGGTACTTGTATATATATATATATATATATATATATATATATATATATATATATATATATATATATATATATATATATATAAGTGTGTGGTGACTGTCTATCATAATCACATGAAAACATTATTACACTCCAGTTATTCAACCATGCTCTCTTTCAAACTTGGTCTCTACCTTCTTATTGCATCTGTCTTTGCCCTCCACCTTCTTCCTGGTCCAGTGGTCTGTGATGGTAAGTCTCTTTAATTGCTTATATATCTTCCAAACACTCCTCTCCCACACCAACATGAACAGGGTGAGAGAGGGTGTGTTAGAAAATATGTCATGTTACGAATGTCCTTCTGGTTTGATTTGTGTGGTTTCCTTTGCAGACAAGGAGAAGGATCTGCTTCATGACATAAACATATACAGAAAAGTTTTGAACCTTCCTGTTCTGGATGAGAATGAGGAGGCTTCTTGCTTAGCCGAGGAGATCGCAGAAGATCTAGCGGACACGCACTGCGAAGTGTTTCATGACTACTACCCCACGCCTGGTGCCAACCCCAAAATTCCCAACTTCCAAAAGAACGTAGAGAAATGCCACATCAACATCAACACCACCACAGAAGGGGTCATCATGCCTCTCTGTGTCCACAAGTTGGACCGCGATGATCTGTTTTCCAATTTCAGCAGATCTAATCGCTTCACAAAGTACCTCAAGCAATCAAAGTATAAAATTGCAGGGGTTGGTTCCGAACATGATTGGATGGTTCTTATTATCAGCACCAACTCTTCTTCCGGAGATTTCTCCTCTGCATCTTCTCTGCTCCGTCTCCCTTCCAACCCTCACTTCCTCATGCTCGCATTCTTCTTCACCACCCTCCTTCTTTTCTCCAACTAAATCCATTCTTTTCTTTCTCCTTTGCCTCACTTCATTCATGTATTTTTCTTGCTTGTTTGAAAAAATTGATTTTTCTGTAATTTTGTCTATATGGGTGTGTCCTTTCGCAAGTTCTTCATTCAGGATTTGCATCTCATAACATCACCGTTCACGTACTTGTAATCTTGTATATTTTCATTTGACATTTGAGTGTGGACATGTTTGAAAAAAATAAAAGTGTGGATATTGTATTTTATATTTTTTTTCCCTTTTTTATCTTATTTTTAGTCAATATGTTTTATTAAAAGATATTTTAAATGGGAAAAATTGTATAACGAATTAATAAAAATCGCATTTTTATTCTGTAGTGTGTAGCACCACAAATCCACGTCAACCGATAGGTGTAGTAGTGCCACTGCCTTTTCATAATTTAACACGTGATATATAACCGCATCATTTTTGCTACTCAAACGCGGAAACGTTGTTACACCAAACGAAAGAAACGCAACTGATACAGGGTCTGTGAGCTATGGCGGAGGAAGAGGACGACGACGAGAGCTTCGGTGACTTCACTTTCGCGTCGTTTCCAAGTCAACCCTTCCCTTCAACCACAAACGACAACAATCTCGTCTTCGTCCACGACGATTGGGGCGACTTCGTTAACCATTCCAGCCAGATCACCAACGGCCTCTCAAAACCCTTCCCGGATCCCACCACGAAACGCGTAAATGACAACAACGGCGTCGCCGGTCAGTCTGAGGCGGCGAAAAAGCCCATGGGAGCTATTCCACTCTCGATCTTCGGCGAGGAGGAGGAGGAGGAACCGACTCTTGCTAATGTTTTCCCCAACGGCGGGGTTGTGAAAGGGGGATCCGATTCGAACGGGTCCGTTGGGATCAGTGATTTGATTTCCAGTTTGTATAATCAACAGCGCCCTCAGATGGATTCTCATAACGGATCGGCTTCGTTATCGAATTTTGCTGCTACCAACCCGGGGAACTCGAAGGGAAGCAAATTTAATTCGAATGAGGATGAGGAGGATGAGGATGGGTGGGAATTCAAGTCTGCGGAATGGGAAACTGGAACCAAGAACCAGGATGTTAAGGTAATAGAACGAATTTATTTAAGGTCGTGGATTAACGAACTTGGAGCTGAAGAGAATGTTGTAATTCAAAAGTATGATTGATCTTTCTTTCCTTAGTTTCAGAACTGTAGGTGGATCTTTTCTATTTCTTGTCCTGTGGAAACGAGGTTTAGGAAAGCTTTGTACTATATGAATTATGTGATTTCCTTTTTATTTTTGTTGGTATTATGTGATTATTTTTAGTAGCTTCCCTGTGAGAAGCAAGGGTTAATTGATTTAATTGTCCTGAATGAGAACAAAAAGAGGGTACGAAAATAGTGCTAGTGCGTATTAGTCATTTGTTATGCATGCTTAAATTTTCTGTCTTGAATAAATTTTTGGCATTGCCTGTCAGAATCTATAATTTGAAGTACATTAAGAGGCTATTCTCTTGGGTAGAGATTTGTTACATCACAGAACTACATGCTTGCTTATTCATGTAATGAATTTCCTTTCTCTGATGATGTGTATTATATTTTAAAGGCTGAAGTGCAAAAACTTGATAATGGTGCTCTTAATGTTGGTACTTTGTTGGATTCGTCCAATGGGATTTCGGACAAAGCTGGCGGATGGCACCTGAATTTTGAGTTCAGTCCACATTCTGCTGCGCAAAATCATATTAACACACAACCAGGTCTGAATAGTGGATCAAAAGATGTTGGAACTGGGTTTTCCATGTTCAACCAAAGTTTTGGGGAGTTGAATTCAGGGTCAGGATCAAATCAAAACTCGGTCAGTTGTTTTCACATAATTTCCTCTTTTTGTTACATTGTTCATTCATATTATTGAGGAATGTCCATTAACACAATGTGATTGTGGATTTGTGGTATTAGAAAGCACCGGAGAAGGCTGACATTTATCCCACCAATGTGGAATTACTCAAATTTGAAGGTACAAATGGTTCATCTCTTGCATCAGCATCTCATCAATCTGATGAATGGAATTTCGGATTTAATTTCAATTCTAGTTCTGTGGGTGAAGACAATCATAATTCAGAGTCACATTTCAAAAGAATTGAAACCAAAGACAATCAGGCGGATAACAACGTAAACAATGCTTCTCCAGCTAATATAAATGTTGATTCAGATGTCAACTTGTTTGAATCAGATGGTGCTGTTACAAAACATGAGGTACTTAATCAGTTTGAAATCATATTTTATATATGATATGGCATTGTATAGATTTAATTTCTTAAAGAAGGATTTTCAATCTTGATTCTTTAGTTACTTAGGTTTTAGGGACCCATGAAAAAATTGCACGAGTTTGTCATATGATACATTGTTTTGTTTACTACTTAATTAATTCTTCGTACTTTTTAAACATATTGCTGTTACTATTCTTTCTATTTCCAGAAGCCCCTAACAGGCTCAGAGAATCGAAGGGAAGCCTTGCCTCTGTCAATTTTTTGTGATGAGACACCAGATACGGATGAACAACCCGTACCTCAAGATCTATCTGACCATGCAGAAACATCCCCAATAAAGAACAGCTTTAATATCCCTGCATCCAACTTATCTATCAATGACTTATGGAATTTATATAATCAAGCTGAAAACCAAACTTCTTCTGCAAATGTGACTCCAAAAGAAAGTGAAAATCAGATCCATGCCTCACCTGCAGTATCAGGCTCCAGTTTGGTTATCGGTAATGATGGTTTGGATGATAACTTCTGGGACTTCAAGGATGCTTCCACTGGAACAAGATTTGCCCATGAATCTCCACAGGAAACTTATTTTAGTCATGCATCACAAATCAATGAAAATGGCTTGCATTCTTCTTCAACTGTTTTAAATCCTGATTTGGCCAGTGGTGATAATGATTTTGATGATGATTCATGGGAATTTAAGGATGCCATCTGTGCAACAAAAAGTCAAGATCACGCATCTACCCTAGATCACACAGATCTACCACGGACCCAGTTATCAACGAAATTAGAGCAGATTGATCATGCAGAGTTTTATAGCAAATTGAAGGATGAATTGTGCAATCATGTTCTGTTACATCTTCATAATCTCAAGGTAGATAAGCTTCTGTGGTCTTTCTTGTAGATAATGCTAATACTTGCTGGCACTGAAATTATTCAAAAATCAATATTCTTAGAAAACTCAAAATGCTGCTACTCTTTCGGGTGAAGATGCTAAAGTAAAAGCTCTGCAGGAAGAAATTCAGGTCAGCATATGAACTGTTTTGCTATCTATTTCCTATCTAATGTTTTGTGCTTTTTGCTGGTTATTTTTTCCTTACTATAGTAAATGTAAAACTATGGGAAAGGGATAGGTGAATAGGTTTCTCTCCATGGGGAAATGGGAGAATCCGGTGATAGGTATTGGATTTGGCACAAAGCTAAACCCCAGATATGTGACTTGTGTACCTTGGGTCGAAGGCCCCCCATCAAACAATATATTAAGTTGAGCTATTAGCATTATGTTATTGTGAATTCGGTTTTCTTCTGCTTTTGAATTTGCGTATGGATATTTTTTCCTTGTTGTTAATCAATTGCACAAGCTATTAATAGTTTCAGCACTGTTTCTACTCTTCTTTTCTTTGTAGGACTTCTCCGAGATACTGCATCAGGATAATATGAGCATCCCTACTGAATATATCTCTGGGGATTATTTCCCAACAAATGTCTCCTTTAATGAACTTCTTGAAGTTTTGAAGGAACCTAATTTCCAACCTTTTGATTCAGAATACCGGCTATCATCAAGGTTTTTGAGGGTATGTCTATTTCTGTCAGTTGTGATGTACTGATATATGTCCCAATTTTCCTTGAGATAAATTTAATGGATAATAGTTACATTTTCTTATTTTATTTATTGATAACATTCTTTCTTAGCAGACCATTCAGCTTAACAACACCTGTACATTTGTATTTTAATAGGCTGAGAAGGATATTAAATCTGCTATAGAACTTTTGAAAGAGACAGTATCAACATTAAGGATTCTCAAGCTGGGATCAACAGAAGAACGATCAAATTATCTTACCATGTGGTCCAAAATAGCCTTTGCTTGTTCTCAAGAACTGAAACATGGTGCTTATTTTTGGAGGCAAGCTGTACTACAGAATGTCCATGACCAAATATTATCAAACCAAAAAGGTAAGCTACATGATTGGGTCATACCTAATATATATGCTGCTGATGTAGATGAACTTAATGAGTCTGTAATAATAACTTTTCTTTTTTGGGGTGGGGGTTCACATAGGTGTTCAATATATCATTGCACTTGGGGAAATTTATAGAGTTGCAGAAATTATTGGAGCTTCAACCAAACTTCACAAACCTTGGATGTTATCAGGTTCCACAGATCATAAAAGTTTATGTTCCCTTTTGAACGAGTGTAATAGCATATGGTTGGCTTCAGGACTTGAAGAAGCACTTTTGAGTATATCAAATCAAAATAATTTTGAGCCAGAGGACATTTCAAGGGCATTAGTTGAATCAATCAAGTATATTCATGAGCTTGATGAACATGCACTTCGAAGCTATGTTATCTCTGGAGAACAAACTACTTGTCAGTTGTCAGCCTTGCCAGCTGGTTGCATACCAGGTATGTGCGCTACAAGTGATAAAAATTGATGTAAAATGAATTAGGATCCTCTCCTGTTCATGGTTAACAGGAGAAGTCCTGTTAATAAAATTTTAACCATTTATTGTGTTTATCACTTAATATATATGTTTAAAATAAAAACTAACCAACTCATTATTCCACTAAAGTAGACACTCATGTTCCCTATTATTTGTACTTTTAGCTGGCTTTTATTTCAACAGTTAAACTTTGTAATTAACGTAATGAATGTTTCGGATTTTATTAAACAAGACCTCTCCTGTTAATGCTAAACATGAGAAAATCCAATCCATTTAAAATTACTTTTTAGTAGAATCTTTTCCTTACTGTTTGTCACTGTGAATAAAGGTGTCCAAATGCCCATAATTAATGATTAGGAAAAATATAACTTTTGGCATGTGCCGGATGGAGCCCCTTCAGTGAAATCTTTTCATTTTAGCTAAACAGAAATTATTGCAATTGAGCAGTTGAACTGTTACTTGTTCTCCGATGGTATTATCATGGAGTGGACCTGGAGGAGTAAAACTACTGAAAATCATGTTCGAATAGTTTATATCCTTTTAACACCAATTTACATTTGCATTTGTATCTGTTTCGATCAATAGCTACAATGTGTGGACATCTCAACTACCTACCACTTTGGCCTTGTAATTTATTTACCCAATGACTTTTGTGGATCAGGGTTGAATTTGGTGACATGGAACGGGAAGCATTACATCGTCAAGCTTGCAAACTTGTGGGCCAACCTAATAAGTTCAGATTCACCCAAGACGTGACACCTGCAAATTTACTTATTTCCCTCACAATACATGTTCTATTTAACGTTTTCAGTGGATGTTTTGAGTTTATTCCTCTTTTAAGAAAAATGTGAGAGATTGTGGCGGGATCCATTTTGTTAGGGTGAGACCTTTTGCGCACTGCCAGCAGCTGTAGTATGGGATGAAAACCATTCTATTCAGTCGGATCAGGCAAAGTTACCAATTAAGTTCATTCTTTCTTCCATAGGTTACCATTCTTTCAGGGAAAGCTTTAGAACATTAGTCGGATTTGTTAAAAGTGTAAGCTGTATTACTAGTGATAAAGAAGAAATGTATGCTACAACAAAGAGTATTATTCTGGATACATTCCATTTATGCGGAGGGAATGATATTGTGTAGTTATCAAATGATTCTGGTGTTGTAAAGTAACTTGGATTCTTCCCTTCATGATTTTACACAATAGTTTTTGGCATGTTTCAACCTAAGAATAGATTTGTTTAAATTGGAGAACTTAGTGTAATATGTCCCTCTCTACCTCACCTGCAGCTCAGTTGGAAATGCAACAGCAGCAGATGATATGAAGTTGTGATTGATACTCCTCGGCAAGAGCCACGATATTTGTTGTCGGTGGCGAAGAAAGTGCAAGCAACTGCACTTGAAGCGACATGAAAGATGGAACTATCAATATAGAAAGTATTTGTGCAATCAATAGACACATTGTTTGCATGCATATCCAATTTTTTATTTTATTTTTTTCACTCGATGAAGTTAATTAATCCGTTAAGTTATTAACATATATGTATTTTTTTAGACTTATTAACATGTGTTATTTCTTTTACAATTTAATTTTTTATGACAAAAATATCAGTAACAAAAAATAGCAATAAATATGTTTTTTATTATGACATCACATTTGTTAAAACACCACTCAAATCAAATCCCTTGTCAAACAAATATTTATACAAGAGACCTGCTTCTAACACAGCTCAAAATACTGGCGTTTTCAAAAATATTGAGTTTTTAAAAATAATATTTTAAAAAAATTGAATTTTATTTATATAAAATTAATAATTTAATTTAAATTAATTATTTAAAAAAATATAATTTATAATTTAATTAATTGTAAATTTAATAATATTTTATGTTTGTAAAATAGTAAATTGAAATTTAATTTACACTCTTTTATTTTTTAAACTTTTTTTATGTTTAATAATTTTAATTTTTTAAAATTTACTTAGAAAAATAAATATTATTTATTATCACGAGAATTAAAATATTAGGGTGATTGATGTAATAAATTGTTTTTCTTAAAACAAAATTTGTTTGTAGATTTGCGGAATTTCAACAGATGATGTATCGACGCAGGTGAACGAGAACTCAGACTCCATGCATGAAATCAGTATGTCCCAGGCTATATGCTCTGCTTCTTCAAATCCTAATCGATGAACCATAAAATTCAGGTAAATCTTTAGTGTTAACCCGTGTCTTTCTTTTCCTTAAATTCTTCAAATCCTAATCGATGAACCATAAAATTCAGGTAAATCTTTAGTGTTAACCTGTGTCTTTCTTTTTCTTGAATTTCTTGGTTCTTGGTTCTCGATTCTAGTTCTGTTTATCTTAGTTTACTTGAGTTTTATGGTTCATCGATTAGAATTTGAAGAAGCAGCATATAGCCTTGTCTGATGAAGTGAAGCAAACTACTGAACCTTTTTCGGGCATTGATGTTTTGAAATCTGTGCGGCTTCTCGGTATGCTTCTAGTAGGAAACTACAAAATACATGAAAAACTGAACATTCTCCTTCGTTCTCTCTGTCTATGGTTAATTTGTTTATAGTATTAATAGATTTGGGGATTTTCTTCTGTTATTAGGTGTTGAATACGAACTCTTAAAAAGAAAGTGCCTGGACTAGTCTCTGAGCGTAGACGGTTTTACAATGGAGTAATTGAACTCAAGGGAACATGAGAGTTTTCTGCAGATGCAGACCATGAGAGTGTTGCAATTTCACTCTCATTTAATGGTCTGTATATGTAGTCAATTTTGATTCGTCTTCAGATAATGAGCTTCAAGTCATTTGTGCAGATTCTTCTAAAAAGCAATTTAAATTTGATCATGTATTCGGGCTAGAAGATAACCAAGGTAACAAGCGAAGTTGCATCTTTTTTTATCATGAAAATTTGTTGAAACTGAATGCATTTTTTGTTATGCAGAGGCTGTTTTTTTCAACTGAACAAACCAGGGAGAAATATGATTTTAGAAATTTAGTGGGAAAGTCACTTGCAAATAAACAGGTGAGGGACCTAACTTCTGTTATTGGAAATAAGGTTTATCTACTTAAAAATAAGTCACTTGTTAATTCTCATAGTACTAAAATTAATTAAAATTAATGAGGTTTATTTTTATGATGTATATGAAAGTAATAGATATTGTATTCCAGAGAGGTTAATATTTAAATTAAAATTTTATGTGGTGTACAAATTTTAGTTTAAACAAAATTTTTAATGATTTCGTATCCTTTCTTGGTAGTTTATGATTTGTAGTATATACTTAATGAAATAATTTATATGAGTGTCAAATGAGACCGTTTGTACGAGATTTTTGTAAGATTTCTAAAATACTCATAAATATTGGATACTGAACATGACCTAATAAACGCAACACAATGATAATAACAAGGATTGTAAGTGTTTATTGTGATAATCACTAACACATATTAAGTATTTTGGTTCTTGTTAAAAATTTATTTAGAAAATTTTGATTTTTTAAAATTTATTTAGAAAAATAAATATTATTTATTATCACGTGAGAATTAAAATATTGGTTCTTGTTAAAAATATATTTAGAAAATTTTGATTTTTTAAAATTTATTTAGAAAAATAAATATTATTTATTATCACGTGAGAATTAAAATATTAGGGTGATTAATGTAATAAAATGTTTTTCTTAAAGCAAATTTGTTTGTTGATTTGTGGAATTTCAACAGATGATATATCGAAGCAGGTGAAGGAGAACTCAAACTCCATGGATGAAAACAGTATGTCCCATGAAATCCTCCAAGTTTATCCGGATAAGGGCCACACACTTCCCATATTGAAGAAAATACTTGATATCAACAATAAAATTCGGTGTTAATTTAAAACCACATTTAATCCTGCGTCATTCTTTTCCTTAAATTTCTTTGTTTATAATATTAATAGATTTTGGGATTTTCTTCTGGTATTAGGTGCTGACCTAAAAAGAAAGTACCTAGACGAGTCCTCTGAGCGTAACCGGTTTTACAATGAAGTAATTGAACTCAAAGGGAATAGGAGAGTTTTCTGCAGATGTAAGTAAAATTGCAAATGGGTCAGCATCTGTAGTCAATTTTGATTCGTCTTCAGATAATGAGCTTCAAGTCATTTGTGCAGATTCTTCTAAGAAGCAATTTAAATTTGATCATGTACTCGGGCCAGAAGATAACCAAGGTAACAAGCGAAGTTGCATCTTTTTTTTATCATGGAAAATTGTTGAAACTGAATGCATTTTTTGTTATGCAGAGGCTGTTTTTTCAACATACCAAACCCATTGTTACATCAGTATTGGATGGGTACAATGTCTGCATTTTTGCCTACGGACAAACTGGAACTGAGAAAACACTCACGATGGAAGGAACACCAGAACAGAGGGGAGTTAACTACAGAATCCTGGAAGAATTATTTCGGATAACTGGAGAGAGACATGGCATAATGAAGTATGAAATGTTGAGACACTAGATGCAATGCAAGTAACTCGTACAAGATGATAATAGATGTCTTATTTTTTAATCAAATTCATTATTTCATGCATTCCTGTCGGGATCTGGAGAGTCAGATTTTTTTTTATAAAATCACTATCTTTGGTTTTTGTTTCTCAAGGTGGAATTTAGCATTTTTTTTTTCTCTCCAGCATATTTTTTTTAGTGTCATCGTGGTAGTATTATACACAATAACGAAATATACTGTCAAGTCCACTTAATCACTAGAAACTTAAAAAAAAAAAGAATGAAAGCATAATGTATTCAATATTGCAGTTGAGATCTTTTGACCTTTCAGTACTAATTATAAATTATATATAATGTGAAATATTTTAGTTGTTTTAATATTGTCTGTACTTATTTTTGTTAAAAAAATGTTTAAATATTTTTATTTTCAAATAAAATTACATTATAAAATATTAACATAAATAAATTTATTTTTTTAAATATTAATTTTAATAAATTATATTGTGAAATACAAATTTAAATAATATCAATTTTTAAATTATAACTTTAATTCTAAAAATAGATAAGAATATAAAATTTAAATAATTTTATTTTAATAAATTGATTTAAACAATGAAATAAAATATTTGTAACTTCTGGATATTCATTTAAAACATTTGTTTTATATACATAACAAATTTTATCTGGACATAGTTTTATTTTTTTTCATCTTTATTTAGTTAAACGTATTCATAACCATTTAATGAAAAAAATGTTAAAAGAGCTAGGTATTTTTTATTTATTTAAGTAATTTATAAATATCAATTTATGAAAAATAGTTTTTAGAAGATATGTATGAATATGCAAGTTGATTTTAAATTATATAAAACCAATTCAATTTTTTATTGTCATTCCAAATTACTTTTCAATTATTTTATTCAATATCTCTTTTTTGCATATTAAATTTTAACTTTACAGTTTTCTATAAACTTCTGATTTATTATAGATATCTTCCAATAAAATTTTATTTCCACCATGTCACTGAAATGAACCTTATAAACAATCTTGAGATCAATTTTTTCATATTTGAAAAACTGTTAATTAGAAATTCTGAATTAAATTATTTCAAACTTCATTAAATAGAATGTTCAATATAGTTATTAATATATTTATTATAAAGTTTGTTGAAATTGCCACCTAGTTTATTCATAGGAATGTCTTATTCAGTATTGGTTGTTTTAAAACACAACATTCATAATGTGTCTTGTATAAATTTTGAACTGTCAGTTTATTAAAGTTAATATATATAAAATTAATTATTTGAAAGTTAAGTTCAAATTTTGAATTCTTAATTTAATAAAAAAGTTTATTATTATTATTATTATTATTATTATTAGTTTGCATTTGCCTTTTCCAGTAGTATTTGTATATAATAAAAAATATTGGTTATTATATTTTTATTTTCAAAAACTAAAATAAAAATTTTAACAATATATAAAAAATACCTTCAAAAATAACATATGATAAAGATGAAATGTAACATAAATAAATTTTCAAGAATAAAATATAAAATCCAAAATATTTAAAGAAGAAAATAATAAAAAATATAAAACTAAATACTTAATTATTTTACTAAATAAAAATATATTTAAATCTTAATTAATTAATGAATAATGTCAAAGTGGTTTGGAAAATCTAAATTAAATGAAAAAACAAGAGCAATGGTGATCTCCTCTAAAAATTTAATTCTTTTAATATACTTATTTTTTAACCATTTATAATATTTTTTAATTTTTTTTAAATATTTGATAGAATTTAAAATAATTGGTTATATAAACTAAACTAATAGTTATATTAAAAGGATTAAAATAGAATCAAATATCAAATACAAATTTGCAGAAAAACTGGCTAATTTTTTTAAAGACAATCATATATAATTATATTTCAGAAAAAAATTATATTTAAGTCTAAAATTTATAATTTTTATTTAAAATGACAGAAATATTTGATAGTAAGAAAATTTTGAAAGCAAACATTAACCAGAGCCGATAAAAATGAAGACTAATCCGAGTTTAAGCCCCACCCGTTTGATTTTCCTCCCACTATTTATATATAAAAAAAATAGGCTCAAAAAAGTTTTCCTAAACCCTAATCTTCAACCCCAACACTTCGCATTCCTGCCATTTTCTCCGCCGTCACTCACAGTAGCTTCGCGTTCCTGGCAGTTTCTCTCGCAGTCGCACTCATTGCATCGCTAGGTCAGTTTTCTTTCTCTGATTTGGCTTTCTTTGCAGCATTGGCGGGGTTGGAGTGGTTTTCCCCAACCCTCTTGTCTATTTTTCTGGTTAAATGATAAGAAAACCAATTCTATATGTATTTTTTGGCCCTATGTGTAATGGGTGCACTGTTCCCTTGCGCCTTCTGCTTCTGTCACTCCTTATATTTCTCGTGTAAAACAAACAAAAAGTTGTGATGTGGTTTAGCTGTGTTGATAGAGCCGGGTGAAAGCAGATTAACATGAAGTTAACAGGGCATGCATTTGCTAGGTTACAATACACTTGAATCTTATTTTGCAACCCATATTTTACTGACATTGGGCTTTTTGTATTAAAGGAAAAGCAAATTTGATTTTTTTGTTGATCCAATATGTTAGTTATTTGAATTGAAAGAAGGAAATTTTGATGTTCTTGTTGTTGATATGATACTATGAGTTGTTTATTTGTTATCATGCATATAATTATGTTAAGGGCTCTGTCTATGACATTATTTCCTTAATATGGTTTATCTGGCCCGTTGATCCTGAGAGCAATGCTTCCGCTCCACCTATTGGTTGTGAAAGCTTTGTCCCTTAGATCTTAAATAATGTTCTGCTTTGGTTACAAATGCTTTATGGCAGTGTGATGGTATAAATTGATTTTTTTTTTCCTTTTTTAGTGCTTGTGCTTGTATAGGTTTAATGGCGGTGCCTTTGGATAATGTTGATTCAATGATTGATGATGAAAGGGAAGATATGGGTGAAGAAATGTCATCATCTGAATCAGAGCAGGACGATATAAGATTAGCTGAGCCATCTAAAAATGCAGTTTATAACAGAGATGCTATAATAGATAAACTTGGAGATATCAGTTGGCCAGAGAGTGTGGAATGGATACACAAACTATCCATTGATGTTGATCAAGAGCAAGAAGTAGATGTCAATGATGATTTGGCACGAGAACTTGCATTTTATACACAGGCATTGGAGGGAACTAGGCAGGCCTTTGAGAAACTTCAGTCAATGGGTCTACCTTTTCTGAGACCTGCAGACTATTATGCTGAAATGGTAAAGACAGATGGACACATGGAAAAAGTTAAAGGTCGGCTATTAGCAGAGAAACGAAAGATGGAAGAGGCTGAAGAGAGAAGAAAGGCCAGGGAGGCCAAGAGATTGGCTAAAGAGATCCAGGCTCAGAAATTAAAAGAAAGGGCTAAGCAGAAGAAGGAAGATATAGAATCTGTTAAGAAATGGAGGAAGCAGAGGCAACAAAGTGGATTTGCTGACACTGGCAATGATGCAGATGCTGATGCAGCTTTTGACTTTGAGGATGGAAAAGTATTTCAGAGGTCCAATAAGAAAAGACCAGGAGTGGCTCCAGGGGATAGGTCAGGAGGGAAGGCAAGGCAGGCGTTTGGTAAAGGAAAGAAACAAAAGAAAAGAGATATTAAGAATTCCAAATTTGGTTTTGGAGGCAAGAAGGGGTTGAAAAAGCAGAATACTGCTGACACCACCAATGACTACGGTAAATTCAAGAAGCGTGCTTTCTCCGAAAACAAGAAGAGAAAGCGGTAAAGACAATCTTTTTTTTGTTGTACGTCTTGAAGGAGCCAATGACCTGGGAATTTCATCTACTTTTTTTAATTTTACATTTTGGATGGATTTGTTAACTTGATAAGCTTTATGGACATTAATTCTTAAATATCTACTTCAATTTTGACTATTTGCTAAATGATTAGTTGTTTTATGTTCTAGTTATTGAGTAAAGCAATTTAACGTTGACATATTTGTTGTACTGCATTTTATAAAAAAAAATATTTGTAGTTATGTTGTAGTTAATTTTATAAGAAAGTTATCATGCATATTAGATTAGTATAATTTTTTTTTCTGTCAATCATTAATTTTTTTTATTTTTTTAAGAAAAAATATAATTTTTTTAAAAAATTTAGATTTAGTTTGAATTTTAAAAATAGAATTTTGTCTTCTCCATTTGTAAAATTAAAAAGAAAGTAAAAAAAGAGAGAATAATATGACATAAAATGTATTCCAAGTAAAAAAATAAAAATAAATAGACGATGAATCAAAATTAACAAAGATTAACAAAACAATGTAATATTGTTGAATTAAGAAAATGTCATGTTAACTATTACTTGTCATTAAAAACAACACTGTAAAGTTTTTATTTTAAGGAAAAATTTATCGGGTGAAGAACTTTGAAGATTGCTTAATTTATTTTTTAATAAGATTGACTATATTGTAAATAAAAGAAATCATTTGGTTTTATTTTAATTCTTATTCTTATATAAATTGATTAGTTAATATTCTTATTTTTATTAATTACTCTATGGAGAAATAAGTCATTGGTAAAAAAATTGTAAGAGGGTGGTTGTGAAAAATGGATGAAAAGAAAGTGATGAAGTGATATTTTAAGTTAGTATTAATTTAAAATAAATAAAAAAATCTTCCAAAATTGTAAAAGAGTGGTAGTGGAAAATGGATTTAAAGAAGGTAGAGTGAAATTAATCTAAAATATATAGTCAAAGCTTGGTTTTGGAAATGATAATATGACTTATACAATATGCATTCTCTGCATTCTCTTTATAATATAGTTAAATTAATGTTTTATGATTTTTTTTAATATAGTTAAGTGATTTTGATGCATAATTATTTCCTTTATTTTGAATTTTAAAAGTTAAATTTTCTACTTTTGCATAAAATAAATATATATTCTCTCATTTTAATCTATGTTCTCTTCGTTATAACGATATAATATCATATTATACATAGAAAATTATTGTCATAATTACTATTATAGCGAGATAAATGTTTGTTCGTCGTCAATATGTCAAAACAAACAAAATTGAAAAATATTGTCAAATTAGGATAGGTGACATTATTGGAAAAAGTAAGAACTCACTGCAACAATTTTGTATATAAATAACTAGTGGTTTGAAAAATCGAAGATATATAAATGAAAAGTTAAAAAATATATAGATGAATAAGAATATTGTTTATAAATAATTTCTATTTTATCAATCATATGCAACACAATATTTTAAATACTCCTATATTATCTATTTTCAATGTTCAATTATCTTTTTATTTTGCTATTTTCCACAAAAATTAGTTAAATATTTTAGAATAAGAGACGAGTGTCATGGTCGTAAATCATTATCTGCACCATCAATATACTGCTAAGGAAGAGCTTTCATTGTCACATTACCTCTTAATTATAGGTTATCTTGTATTTAAAATTGTAATTGAGATATAGAAATTATAGGTCATCCTGTATTTAAGATTACAATTGAGATACAAGAAAGATAAGTTGTAACAATTGAGATATAAGAAAGATAAGTCATGCCAAGGAGGAGCTTCAACTGTCACATTACCTCTTAATTACATGTCATCATGTATTCAATATTACAATTGAGATATAAAAAAGATAAGTCATAACAATTGAAATATAGGAAAAATAAGTTGTGCCAAGGAAGAATTTTCATTGTCACATTACCTCACTCATCATGTATTCAAGATTGTAATTAAGATATAAGAAAAATAAATCATAACAATTGAGATATAATAGAGATAAGTCATATCAATTGAGATCTTCTACTCAAGATAGGAAAGATAATCTTTATTAAAATTATAAATTTTTTTTTATTTTATAATACAAATTATAAATTTTTTTATTTTCTGTATAAAATTATAAATATTTTTATTTTTTGTACAAAATTGTGCAGTACAAATTATAAATTATTTATATTTTTCGTGTAAAATTGTACAAAATTGAGTTCTTCTATCAATTTTTTAAAAGTACGTTTGTGTAAATATGATTGAAATAAAGAGGAGTGGAATTAAAAAAAAAATCAAGAGGTAAAATAAAAGTTAGGTAATGCATTTGAAATTGAAAATTAAGTGAATTATATTTTAGAATAAATCCGAATTACAATTTATAAAAATGTTGTAATGAATAATTCATGATGATTAATCATCTTATTGACAAATCACTTGCAAGATTCTCCTTCCTCTTTTCGAGTAAGTTTTATTTACTCCTCTTTTATAGAATAATTTTTTATTAAGGACATCATTTGATGCCTTAAGTAGTATTTATTAAAAAATACGATAATCATTTAAAAGATTAAATTTTTTTATATAACTTTTATGTTCATATATAAATGTATGAGAAGACATCTAACTTCTACCAGATTCGACATTTCATAATCTTATCATAGACTTATGTGTTTATTTTTTTATCGTACTTTTCTGTCTTTTTTTACATTCATATATAAGCTTATGAGGAGATGTTTAACCGACTGTCAGATTTATTTTCTTGTTATAATTGACTTTATCTTGGACAAATCATTTAAGCTAGTTTGATTTGATATTCTCTAAGAGCTAAATAGTCACGGTCTCATACAAAAGAAATAAAAAATTATAACAGATTTATTTCTTTTTACATTATATCTTTTTTTCCCTCTTTTTTATGGAAGTTTTGTAAGTTTACCCCAATTCTGTTTTTGTCTTCTATTTTGGTTTTATACCAACAGAATAATTTCGTTGACAAATCCAATGGGCAACGCAATGTACGGGCGACGGTACATTGAAAGATTTAATATTGCATGTACTTCTTTTTGTTAAAAGAATATTTAAATATTTTTATTTTCAAATATAATTATATTATAAAATATTAATGTAAATAAAATTATTCTTTAATTATTAATTTTAACAAATTATATTGTGAAATACAAAAAATAATATAAAATTTTAAATTATAACTTTAATTCTTAATAAACTGAATTAAAAAAATCATTAAAAATCAAATAAAATACTTGTAACTCCTGATATTTATTTAAAACATTTGTTATATATACATAACCAATTTTATTTGGACATAAATTTTATTTTTTTCATTTTTATTTAGATAACCACTACTATTATTTAGATAGTTCTTATCACTCCTGCTACTACTACATCACTGTGGAAGTTTCAGTGTGGGACCTGGAAGGCACATGTCCACACTCCAAAGTTTATGAAAATCTCACTGCACTGCCAAAAAATGTAACAGCTATTGTTGAGATGGAATATCAAAGACAAAAAATCCCAAGCCAGTCTATTTTCTTATTCTCAAACTCTACATGTCAGAAAATAGTATTTTATCTAGAAACTTTTAGTGGTTGCATCTTTCTGGTTTAGTTTGCGATTAGTCAATCTTCCTTGAAAATAAATTAAATCTTCTTATATAAGGCGACAATCAAAGTTCTTTAACATGAAAACGTTTGACAAATAATAATTAATTTCACGCTTTCTTGATTCAACCAATATCACATTGTTTAATAATTTTAATTTAATGTCTATTTTTTTATTTGGAATACATATTATTCTATTTTTTTTAACTTTCTTTTTTCTTTTACAAATAGGGAGACAAAATTCTATTTTTAAAATTGAAACTAAATCTAAAAAATTGACAAAAAAAATATAATTTTTCTTATAAAAAAATAATAATTGACAGAAAAAAATAAAAAAATTATACTAATATGCATGATAAATTAAAAAAAAATATATTTGGCATTATATGCAAAATTAGTTTAAGAATAAATTTAGTCACTCCACAAACTCAAGCAGCGGCGCTCCGGGCTCAGGTCCCTCTTTATTTTTTATTCAATTTTCCATTTCCATTTGGAACGACAGAAAATAAAACCAATGATCTTAATCTCAGCCAAAATTACGTTGTTAATTAAGATCTTGGATAGTTTGTTGATTTGTGGAATATGTTGATTTGTGGAATTTCAACAGATGATGTATCGAATCAGGTGAACGAGAACTCAGACTCCATGGATGAAAACAGTATGTCCCATGAAATCCTCCAAGTTTCTCCGGATAAGGGCAACACACTTCCCATATTGAAGAAAATACTTGATCTCAGCAATAAAATTCGGGTAAATCTTTAGTGTTAGTTTAAAACCACATTTAATTTAATCCTATGTCTTTCTTTTCCTTAAATTTCTGGGTTCCTCTCGTTCTGTTTATCTTAGTTTACTTGAGTTTTATGGTTCACCGATTAGGATTTGAAGATGCAGCATGTAGCATTGTCTGATGAAGTGAAACAAACTACTGAATCTTTTCCGGGCAATGATGTTTTGAAATCTGTGCAGCTTCTCGGTATGCTTCTAATAGGAAACTACAAAAATACATGAAAAACTGAACATTCTCCGTTGCTCTCTCTGTCTATGGTTAATTTGTTCATAATATTAATAGATTTTGGGATTTTCTTCTGGCATTAGGTGCTGAATACGAACTCTTAAAAAGAAAGTACCTGTACCAGTCATCTGAGCTTAGGCGGCTTTACAATAAAGTAATTGAACTCAAGGGGAATATCAGAGTTTTCTGCAGATGCAGACCATTAAATGAGAGTGGGTCAGCATCTGTAATCAATTTTGATTCGTCTTCGGATAATGAGCTTCAAGTCATTTGTACAGATTCTTCTAAAAAGCAATATAAATTTGATCATGTATTCAGCCCAGAAGATAATCAAGGTACATAGCAAAGCTGAATCTTTTTTTTTATTATGGAAAATTGTTTTACTATGGAAAATTGTTGAAACTGAATGCATTTTTTGTTTTTGTTATGCAGAGGCTGTTTTTCAACAGACCAAACCCATTGCTACATCAGTATTGGATGGGTATAATGTCTGCATTTTTGCCTACGGGCAAACTGGAACTGGGAAAACATTTACGATGGAAGGAACACCAGAACAGAGGGGAGTTAACTACAGAACCCTGGAAGAATTATTTCGGATAACTGAAAAGAGACATGGCACAATGAAGTATGAGTTGTCAGTTAGCATGCTGGAGGTATACAATGAGAAGATAAGAGATTTGTTGGTGGAAAATTCCACTCAACCTACAAAAAAATGAGTGCTCCTTTATTGTATGTTGTATCTCCTTTCTTCTACAATTTAGCTGCCATTTGTTTATGATGTTAATGTGTTAATAAAATCAAGATCTGAGAATTCGTGTGACATATTGCTGTGATGGATAAGGAATCTGAAAAAAAAAATGAATGAAGAGAAACACAACACTATAGTTTCGTAGTTCAAATAATGTATTCTTTTTAGATGCATAGCTTTCGAACCATCTCTACATTTCAATCAATCAGCCAATAAACTTATTTGTATTATATACTTTTAAAGATCTTAATTCTTGAGTATTTTAATCATATTTAGTTGAATAGTTGTTATTTTACTTTGAACAGGTCATGTTTTAAGCTGAGGTAGATTCTTTCTTTAGTGATAGTAGATGTTATATAATTGTCAATGAAACTTATGGCTTTGGAAGAAGTTATTAAAAATTATAGATAATGATTGAGAGGTGCTTTTACATGCAGCTTGTTATGAGTAACTGTAATGGGGGAAAATTTAATCAATGGCCAGAGAACAAGGAGTCACCTTTGGCTTGTAGACTTAGCTGGTAGTGAGCGAGTGGGAAAAACTGAAGCTGAAGGAGAAAGACTGAAGGAATCTCAATTCATAAATAAGTCACTTTCTGCGCTCGGTGATGTCATTTCTGCCCTTGCTTCTAAATCGGGCCATATTCCTTACCGGCAAGTCTCTTTTTCTCTCTTGAACGCATTCATACTGAATGATCCATTTTTCTAATTATTATTTGTATCCTCTGGTTTTGACAGGAACTCAAAACTCACTCATATGCTGCAAAGTTCTTTAGGTGAGATTCCACTTCAACATTATAAATTTATGATCCTTTGAAAATGACTCTGATTTGATTTCACGTCTGGACTTCTATGACTGTTAATGATTGATATGTGGCTGAAATGCAGGTGGAGACTGCAAAACGTTGATGCTTGTGCAGGTAAGTCCAAGCGCAACAGACTTGGGAGAGACACTTTGCTCACTGAATTTCGCTACCCGTGTCCGTGGAATTGAGGGTGGCCCAGCTCGCAAGCAAGTAGACCACACTGAACTGTTTAAGTACAAGCAAATGGTAAGCTAGTATGAAATTGTTCTAATAAACATAGCTACGATTTTTTTCAATTCCTGAAACTCAGAAATCTCTCATAATTAAAGGTAGAAAAGCTCAAACAAGACGAGAAGGAAACAAAGAAATTAAAGGATAACTTGCAAATTGTGCAACTCAGGCTTGCTTTAAGAGAACACCATTGTAGAACCCTTCAGGAAAAGGTATAAGCTTCAGAAATATTCATGCAATGCAAGTAACTCAGACAAGATGATAATAGATGTCCTTTTTTTAATCAAATTCATTATTTCATGCATTCCGTGACAGGTTCGGGACCTGGAGAATCAGATAGCAGAAGACAGAAAACACAGGCTAAAGCAAGAAAGTAGAGCACTTGCTACTGTTTCGGCTCAACCTTCATCATTATCACAACACACAACTGCCCAGAAAACAATGACAAACAAGAAGCCACCACTGAATCCTTCCAAACTCAGACAACCACTGAGAAAAATAACTAACTCCTTGCCTCCACGGTCTCCTCTAAGATCAAAGAGTTACACCACATTCATGAATGGAAAGGAAAACTCTGCGAGAAGGGCTTCAATGGCGACCAGTACCGTGAGGCCAGCTGCGCCATCAACCACACAGCAGTTCTTTCAGGCAAGGAGGTGGGTGTCCATTGCCACGAGACCACCATCTGCACCATCAACAACGCATGTCATTCTGCCAAGGAGGAGGGTCTACATTGCCACACTATCTCTTCAGTCAACTTCTGGCATCACAACTTCATTCCGTACCTCAGAATTCCGAGTTACCAGTGGAAGCAGTAACAATCACGGATAAGAAACCAAAGGAAAGATAGGTATTCAAGTTTGTTTGCCCCAGTACCAGAGTTGAGAGAAACAGTTTTGACAACACCAATGTCTGTAAATAGCAGCACCAAGTTTATGAACAGTCCAACACAGGCAGATTCCAGGATGATGGGGCCCGTTAAAAATCAACCTGTTATCGCTCTACAACTAAAACCTGTGGTGTGGAGTCCTCTTAGGGTAAGAGCCATGAACAGAAAGTCATCACTCTTGCCATATCGCCCAACCCAAATGCAGTAAACATTGTTTTCCCATACAATGTGTCAAGTACTAGAGTTTTGAGCTAATGCCAACGTGTATAAATTAGCATACTGTGTTTGGTTTATGAATCAACTTAGATTTCAACTAAATTTTTCTCAAAGCATGTCATGCCAAATACTCGTGTATGTTGTTCAATCAAATTTCTGATCTTACATTTAATTGTCAAATGCTTTACTTTTATTCATTTCCTATCTCATATTTTTGGTTTGTGAAAAATATTGCTGACAATATTTACATAATTTATTTAGAAATAAAAAGGAGGTAAAATGTTTAATTCTTTACCAATTAAATGATGTTAATCTTTTACCTCTCCTGTAAGAATGCTTTTGTGAGAAACATAGACCAATCAAACATGAGGACTGTACCTTTTTTTTTTTTTTTCAATTTAGAATTTACCGTAAATAAAAAAAAATAACACTTTGTATCATATACGTTAATAACATATGGTCATCCTGTAAGAGAGGTCGTCCTCCTGTAGAGAAATCATCCTGTAAGAGAAGTAAGAGGTCATCCTGTAAGTTAGGTAGAGATATCACCCTGTAAGTTAGGTAGAGATATCACCCTGTAAGTTAGGTAGAGATATCATCCTGTAAGAGAGGTCGTCCTCCTGTAGAGAGGTTGTCATTCTTTAAGATAGGTCGCCATCCTGTAAGATACGTCATCCTGAAGAGAGGTCGTGCTGTAAGAGACGCCGCCTCCTGTAGAGAGCTAAAGAGAGGTCATCCTGAAAAGAGGTCATCCTGTAAGAGGTCATCCTGTAAGAGGTCATCCTGTAAGAGGTCAAGAGGTCATCCTGTTAGAAAGGTCGTCCTCCTGTAGAGAGGTTGTCCTGTATTCAAGATTGCAATTGAGATATAGGAAAGTTTTCCTAAGATAGGAAAGATAGGTCATCATGTATTCAAGATTGCAATTGAGATCCTTTACCCCAAGATAGTAAAGATAGGTTATCTATATTCAAGATTGCAATTGAGATCCTTTACCCCAAGATAGGAAAGATAGGTCATCCTGTATTCAAGATTGCAATTGAGATCATTTATCCAAGAAGATAGGAAAGATAGGTCACCCTGTATTCAAGATTGTAATTGAGATCCTTTACCCCAAGATAGGTCAGACTGATAAATTATTCATACCAAAAAGGTTATATCCATTGATGCATATCCAAACAACACGTGTTCGGCCTCAACTTTAGTGAGCTCCTTAAAAAGGTTCTCGTCCCCGCACATGTGGTTACTTGCTCCTGTATCAAGATACCAAACCGAGTTGTCAGAACAGCTCGGACTTAGCTCGACACCCGAACTTCTTAACATCATCAATACTCCTTCTTCCTCAGCGTCCTTAGAGAGGAGGTTTGTTTCCTTCTTGCTCTCAGATTGGCGGTCCTTCGCGAAATGCCCTACCTTCCCATAATTATAACATTTAATACCTGAATAGTAGTCCTTAGCAAAATGACCATACTTCCTACATTTGAAGCACTCAACTCTGGAATTGCTTGACTAACCATCTCAGCCTCTACTGCCATGACCTCTACCATGTCCTCGGCTACGTCAGTTTTGTTGACCGACTTGCTCCTTACCTCTTTCATATCCTCCTCTGCCTTTACCACCTCAGCCTTGAGTGTTCTGAGCATAAGGAACCTTCTTCGCCTTTAAGGTTGTCTTTGCTTGGAGTACTTGATCAAGGGACTCCTCTTTCTTCTTCCTTCTCCGCTGCTCATGTGTTTTAAGCGACCCGACAAGCTCTTCTACCGAGAGTACCGACAAGTTCTTAGACTCCTCTATTGCACAAACGATATTTTCAAAGTTGTCGGTTAACAACCTTAAGATTTTCTCCACCACTCGACAAGTGGGCAGCGTCTCTCCATTTCTTCCGAGTTGATTCACCACGGTCTCAACACGGGAGACGTACTCGGTAACCCCTTCGACCTCTTTCATCCTCATGTTTTCAAGCTCGCCTCTGAGAGTTTGAAGCCTGACTTGCTTCACGCGATTATCCCCTTTATATGCCTTCTCCAAAATATCCCACGCTCCTTTTGAAGATTTAGCATTTGCTATCTTCTCAAAGCCAGACTCATCAACAACTCAGTACAGCACGTACAACGTCGTTTTGTCCTTTACCCGTGTTGCTCTTAACGCAATAAGCTGGTCAATCGTCTGCTCTTCAATATTCTCTGGTTCTTTGTGCCCATTTTCGACCACATCCCATACTTCCTGGGAACCAATGAGAGCCTTCATTTGCAGACTCTAGTTATTATAGCTTACACTTTTTGATAACTTTGATAGGGGCATGTTGTTAGCTAAGTTGGCCATCTTGAATAAACTCTCTAACTCTCAAACACTCTCTCTAACGCACTCAGACACTCGGACTCTCAAGTTTTGATACCAATTTGTTGACAAACAAGTATCTAAATAAAATATTTTGGATATTATCACTTGATGTGTTTTGCAATGAGCGGTACATGGTCAATTTATAGGCTTCTAGACATGGCCTCTCAACTACATGTACTCAATACAACCACTACCTCTCAACTATATACATTCAATACAATCACTATCTCTCAACTACATGCATTCAATACAACCACTACCTCTCAACTACATGTATTCAATATATCCACTACCTCTTAACTACATGCATTCAATATAATCACTACCTCTCAACTATAAGCATTTAATGTTTACCTAACATATCGGATGAGGTTTCCATTTCTATTATTGGGGTGAGTTGTATCAATTGCTTTAGATCCTTTAAAAGCTAGCAATATTTTTTCTCTATGCACTTAAAATTTATCAAAGCCTTTCTTTCATCTGGTGTACTGTCTTTGTACTAAACCCCAATGAAAAGGAGTTTTAGCTTTCACATGTTCTTCAATTCACGATTAAATACCATTGTACAATTTCAGGAGTCACTGAGATTTTTGGGAAACAAAACGAGAATAATAATACAGAGACATGAGCTAAACATCAGAAGAATTGCTTTATTAATTTTTCTTTTTATGCATTCTTTTGGAGTCGATTTATAGTTGATTGTACTTCCAGCAGTTCTTTGGTTGGACGATTCCAGTATCTGTGTTTGCTGGAGCCAGTAAAAATAATTGATCCCCACTTGGTGTCATCATTCTTTGACAATTATAAGAGAGTATATCTACATGCCACAACTGAGTTAGAAAACAGGAGCTCCTGGACTGCTGAGTGTTCTTTGAGTATCCATGTGACAACAGAACTCGAGGGGAGCATCCACTCAGTAGAGCAGTTTCAAACTCAAAATGTTTCAATTCCTCCAACATCTCGGGTGCAATATACATATCCTGAGGTCAGTCTTATATAGTTTAATCCACTGTCCTTATGTGCCTATATTTATGGAGTTTGAAAACACATGAAGAACTTAATCATTAATTAATGATATATTTATAGAAAAAATGTGTACTTAAAGTAACTTTTCCTTATTTCATATATTGTCTTGGTATATGTATCATTCTTAGTTGGTTTTGGGATTGGATCTTGGGCTACTTTTGTGCAAACTTGTTTGTATGACTTATAGGCCTATTAGGAGAAAAAAAATTAGAATTTTCCTTTTCCTTTTGAGTTGAGGAAATTTTCAATCCTGGACTGATAATCTTTTGTTGCGTCATTTTCTATGACCATTCTATACTCGCATAATTTGGAGTTTGAGCTTTATCTCTTATTTTCAAGGCTAATGGTTTGCTTTTGTAGCTCTTCTTCCACAAGCCCAATTTGTGGTGGCCAAATGGAATGGGGAAACAATCTTTGTACAACGTTATTATTAACGTTGATGTTAAAGGATATGGTGAGTCTGATTCATGGAGCCATCACTTCGGATTCCGCAAGATTGAAAGCCATATTGATGATGCTACTGGTGGAAGGTATTATGGTATTCCTTCAATGTTACAGTATTTTATTTTTTCCTTAGTAAGCTTAATTCACACTTTAAACTTCTTTTTGTATATGTTTTGCTGCATGTTTTCATAGATTGTTCAAAGTTAACGGAGGACCAATTTTTATACGAGGGGGGAATTGGATATTGTCTAATGGGCTACTGCGACTCTCAAAGAAGCGATACGAAACAGATATCAAGTTTCATGCAGATATGAATTTTAATATGATTCGTTGCTGGGGCGGTGGCCTCACTGAAAGGCCAGAGTTTTATCATTACTGTGATTATTATTGTTGTTTATATTTGCTGCTTACTATTCTGCTATAATTTTTTCGCGTCTACTGCTTTGTGCCAGTTTATTTGTTTTCCTTTCCATTTGAGTATTTGTGTATTGATGTAGCAGTTTGTATTAGCTTGAATGACTGCATCATCATAATTAAAGCAGGTTGGATTTATGTGATCAGATTATTACAATATTGGATAATAGTTAATGTTGCTGGTAAATCTTGTAGGTCTGGCAAGAATTCTGGATTACGGGGGATGTGGATGGACGTGGTATCCCTGTATCAAATCCAAATGGTCCCCTGGACCATGATCTTTTCTTGTTTTGTGCAAGAGACACGGTCAAGCTTCCTAGAAATCATCCTAGTCTTGCTCTCTGGGTGGGTGGAAATGAACAAACTCCACCAGATGATATAAATACAGCCCTGAAAAATGATCTGAAACTTCATCCTTATTTCAGACATACAGAAGAAAAAGAAAAACCTGTTGCTGGCTTGTCCCATAGGTTGGGGGATCCTAGCCAATATCTTGATGGCACAAGAATTTACATACAAGGATCATTATGGGATGGGCTTGCAGATGGGGAAGGGAACTTCACTGATGGACCTTATGAGATTCAAAATCCAGTAGATTTTTTTAAGGATGACTTTTACAAGTATGGATTCAACCCTGAGGTTGGTTCTGTAGGAATGCCAGTTGCTGGAACCATAAGAGCAACAATGCCTTCAGAAGGATGGCAAATACCACTGTTTAATAAACTTTCCAGTGGTTATGTTGAAGAAGTTCCAAATCCCATTTGGAAATACCATAAATACATTCCATATGCAAACCCAACCAAGAAGGTTAATGATCAAATTGAGTTGTATGGTAATGTGAATGACCTTGATGATTTTTGTTTGAAGGTAAGAAATCTTTATCCAAGTGGGTCAATCATGATACATTGTCAATCTTCCTATCTTTGTTGTTCTGTTGTTAACTTTATTTTTTATACCAAAATTTTCTCAGGCTCAACTAGTTAACTACATACAATATAGAGCTCTTCTGGAGGGATGGACGTCTCACATGTGGAAAAAATTTACAGGAGTCTTGATTTGGAAGACACAAAATCCTTGGACTGGTCTGAGAGGTCAATTTTATGATCATCTTCTTGACCAAACAGCAGGATTCTTTGGTTGTCGATGCGCTGCAGAGCCAATTCATGTACAGCTTAATCTGGCTACATATTTTATAGAGGTACGCATCGAAATTGAACTTCAATTTTAATGAAATGGAAATAAAAATAGAAATATCATTTGAGGGAATGAGAAATACTTTTGTGGCCATATGAAATAAAAATTGAGTTTGGAAACCAAAATAGCAAGTTAAAGAGATTACAATAGTACTGAACCGGTAGGACTTAGAATTGGAATGATCACAATTTCCTCTGCAAATTAATGATAATGATGATGAATAGTTTCTTACGTTTTATATCAATTTAAAAAAAAAAAAAAAACAGGTAGTGAATACTACATCAGAAGAATTGTCTAACATAGCTGTGGAAGTTTCAGTGCGGGACCTCGAAGGCACGTGTCCACACTCCAAAGTTCATGAAAATCTCACTGCACTGCCAAAAAATATAACACCTATTGTTGAGATGGAATATCCAAAGACAAAAAATCCCAAGCCGCTCAACTTTCTTATTCTCGAAGTCTACAACATGTCAGATAATAGTATTTTATCTATAAACTTTTATTGGTTGCATCTTCCTGGTGGAAATTATAAACTACTAGGGCCGTATAGGGAGAAGAAAATACCCCTCAGGATAACATCGGAGGTTTTTATTCAAAGATCTATCTACAATCTTCAAATGCATGTGCAAAACACATCTAAAAAACCAGAGTCACTGTAAACGGTAGATAGTGTGATTGGCAGCAAAGAGCAAGGAAGTTGGTTGGTTTAGGAGGATACACAAATGCTTTGCAGGGAAAAGTGCTGGTGTGAAGGTTTCTGAAATTAATGGCCAAGATATAGGTGTTGCATTCTTTCTTCATTTTTCTGTTCATGCTTCGAACAAGGACCACAAGGAGGGGGAAGACACAAGAATTCTCCCCGTTCATTACTCAGATAACTATTTTTCACTTGTGCCAGGAGAGACCATGACTATTAAAATTTCTTTTGAGGTCCCTCCAGGTGTCTCTCCTCTAGTTACTTTGCATGGCTGGAATTTCGACCAACAAGCCATCCATGAAGGTCTTTAGTGATGTTACAGGCAACCTTGTGAACTAATCAATTCTGTGTACATCATATGATCAGCTTGAATTTATTACTTTTCTTCATTCAACCTGCTAAAGTTAGTATTCCGATACAACATTGGAGAACTCATATTCCCACCATATGTTGTTAAGACCAATATTTCTAGTGCTTTGTTTTCTAAACTGTGCAATAAAAAACAAAGGTGAAATAGTCTCAATGATCATAATTTTTTTAAAGCGAAGGCTCCTGGGAATGAAGGTTATGCCTCGATGATTTTTCGGGTTGTAATTTGATAATATTCAATTTCATCTCAGATTGCAATCTCTTATTCTTCTAGCCATGTCTTAAAGAACTTGGCAAAACAAAAACATTTATTCTATACAGAGTAGGGATAAAAACACTTGAAGTGGTCTGGCACAAATTGAGATGCATCATAATGTGTAATTGTGAATTATTATATGATAATGAAGAGAACAAGTATGAAAGATCATCATCAATCATCATATAGACTTCATCATCCGGCTAATTGAAGAGAATATGCCCGCCGCTTTGTCTAGAAAACCTTGCCCTTGCTCTGACTTCTGTTCTTCATCAGCAAATAGAATCTGCACCATGAATTAAAGCTTACCCAAGAGATTATTATATTGTCATATTGATTTTCACTATGGATAATTCGTCAAACAAATTTCTTGTCTTTCTTTTCTATATAAATATTTTTCATTCTATTCAAATTTTTGTTTTTCAAAAAATTCACCAACAAGAATAATAGGTATTTTAACCATGTCCACAGAAAATGGTTGGATCATGAAGTTTAGAATTGAAGCTGTTAACCTCAATGTCGTCAGCATCAGGACGGCTCTCGAATTCCTTGGCAAGCAAATATCTAGTCGGCCTATCCTTGTCATCACTGAACACTTTCCACTGTCTGAGTAGATCAACAGAACATGAAGCAAACAAAATTCATAAATAATTTCAGCTTTGCGATTAACATTTCCAGAAGCCGATTAACAGTGTATGATTGATTTCATCAATTTTATCTCCATCGAAACAGGATACAAAAATATTGAATCATGTTCAGATTACATATCTAGAAATCAGGTGAACCAGAAATCCACTTCCAAACCCAAAAGTTATGTTTTTTATGATATTTATATACTAATAACCTTATATGATGGAATGAAAGACCTTACCCTGGATAACACCTGAAGATTGCTCCAAATGGCATAGGTCGCATGAAATAGACAGTTGTAAAAGTGCTGCAAAATAGAATATCAGAATTTAATAGTCTAGTGTGATCAGAATAAGTCAATTTTACAAAACAAACTGCATTAAGAATGAAAAGAACTCAAGTAACTTAATACAGATAATAGCAGAAAAAAACCAAGCACACAAAAGTCCAACCCCAGTTTATGTAAATACCACTTACAGTCAGTTGAAGCTTAAGTAGTAAACCATGCAATGGCTCAGCACTCGTACCTTAGAAAGAAGCGCCTTAATTTCCGGACATTAAACCCAACTCCGACATCCTCGCTGATCAGGCGAGGATTCCACATGATGAGCGGTCTAGGCTGCCATTTTATGTATAGTTTGAAAGAAAAGTGTAAATAATATAAACATACATGGCAATTTCTAAACTAAATGCAAGGTGCCGAAATGGCAGTGATGTGGCTATCTATCTCACAGTTTATGACAGCTTTCTAGAAAGACAAATATAAGAAGTACTGTTAGTTCTAAACCCCTTGTCTTATAATCGGCTTTCAGATACATACTTCTTTCCCTCTTGATGATGAAAGTTTATCACATTTTTCAGTTGATGGATTTTTTAAAAGATCGCAAAAGTCAAGGGATTTACTGGATCATTTGAGAGATTGGATGCAATTCTCTCTACATATTCTAACATCTGATAATCTGGAACAATCATAACCACAATCTCATCATCACCTTCCACGGGCTTCCGGTCACTCAAGATGGATAAATAGCAAAAGAACTGAAATGTTATGGATGGAATTGCTACAGCATAGCCATTAAGTACTTTAATATCTAAGTACAATGCAAAAGTCAAAATCAAATATATGATAGTACACCCCACGACTATTTTTCTGGCAGAATAAAACATAAAGCATTAATCTAAGTGCTGAAAGTTACCTTGCAAATCTAAATATAGCATCTTTCCACCTATACTTCAGAAGGGCTGCCGCACCAGCATCTGGAAATATGGCTTTAACCCTCTAACAATCAAATTCATGAAACTTAGCAACTAGTTTACAACTTCCAAAATAAATAATACTCATGCCATAAAACCTTGGCGAATTCAGGAAATTCAGTATTCATAACATGAGCATCTAGTTTGTGGATACTTATATCATGTGGAGAAAAGTCGGTAATCATTGCACAACCATCCCTTTTATCCTAGTGTCAAATAAATTTAGGAGGCTGTTTGTATTTTCATTTAAAATATGCAAATTCTATATTTTACCTCCGGATAACCAAGACCTAAACAATTAATAATACCTAATATAGTGACATACTAGCTGTCTCCTGAGTTATAAAAGGAAACCATGCACTTGGTTTGAGTGGAAATAGGACGCTATAGATGGCTAAATATTTGTGTGCATCCAATAGTAGAGACACCACAAGAGTCTCTAATGTACATTCCACGCAGAAGAAACCAATTCTATTGAAATGAAATGAACATAACAACAGATGCAATCACATTATGAAGAATATATGTAAATGGCTAAGATAGGTCTAAAACTTTGAGTTTGAACTCAACTCAATCCTGTAAAACGATTTTTTAAATGTTTGCAACTACTTGAATACTTTGTTTTAGCCCTATCACACTGCAAATAAGGTGACTGACGGAATAGGAATTATTTCAAATTCAAATATTCCTTCAAAAATTTCATGTGCTATAAGTTTATAACCACCATAATACATCCCACTAACCTGGGATTTTGTTTTTTCAATGAGTATATCCAAAAAAATTCTTGACAATTCCCAGAGTTCAACCTGCGCACCTTCGTCATCTAAAAATTGCAGTTGGGGGATTAAAAGTTCAACCTGTAAGACAGTGAAAATATTTTAGAGCAAGATGCATTTGACGCCAAGCAACTGAAAGAACAACTATTAACATTGACTAACAAACCAATCCCTCTCATAGCAACATTTTCAAGTTGCATCGGCTTAAACATTTAGTCACATCAGATGCAAAATAATGGAAAAAATATTTTTACTCTTACTTATCCTCACCTTAACATGCTAAATTTATGAAGTTATTGATCTTAACCACGTGAAGATGACTAAGCTCTTTAGAAGGATTGCATGCCAAAGAAGAAGCTCAACACAACATATTTCAGTAAAAAAAACGCGATCCTCCAAAACAATAAAAGAAATATATTTTCAATTTGGAGCTGTTCGACTTAAACGCAGTGTGGAATTTGGAAGAAATGACAATTTTGTGTGAAATAAAGAAAAGAAGAAAAATAAATTTTGGTACATACTGTGGCTCTCATCCCTCCTGAAGATACAAATATGGCCGCGGCCTCACTAGATTGCCTCACTGCACCATCCAAGTCTGAAGGCAAGCAACTGAAACAGAAAGCAAAAATGTGAACAACTTTTTTCTACCCATTGGAATGTATATCTAACTTTATCAATATACCTTTTTCCTATTCCCATATGACTTCAAAATATGGTGTGACTCAAAATTGAGGACACACTCAAATGGCATAAGCATGAGAGACGTGATGTTTGAGTTTCCAGAACAAAACAAAACATCCTACACAAAGATAAGAGTCCTATGTATGAAATAAATTAACAGTATCCATCCTCTGTTGTCTGAGACTTACAAAAAAAACATAAATTGGGACAAAAATAAAATAATCTACGAAGTCCAAATTGTAGGTAGTAATAATACCTGTCATCTTCCTCATCATCCTTAACAGAAGTTTCGGTATTTTCTTCTAATGTGGATTGTGGATCGGGCTCCGGGGATTCGGTTGGGAACTTCTCAAACTTGGCAAAAACTCTGAAAGTGGAGGTTGAAGAGTGAAGAGAAAGGCCATTGTAGGCGCAAAGTAGAGGGTGTGAGAAAGATAAGGAAAAAGGGGTGGCTGAGGTTGGAAGGGGTATTGAAGGATGGTAATTACAGTGGAAGTTGCAGGCTATGGTTGAAGAAGCCATTTATATGTTACTTGTTAAGTGTTAATCTGTTCATCGCCCAAAGGCCGTGGATAATTGATGAATAGTGCAAATTGTATATAATCAACCACTGTTGCAGCTTTGCTCCATGTCTCAGAAATTAAAAGAAAGGGCTAAGCAGAAGAAGGAAGATATAGAATCTGTTAAGAAATGGAGGAAGCAGATGCGGCTTTTGACTTTGATGATGGAAAAGTATTTTAGAGGTTGGTACGTGCATAGTTTGGTTGGCTGTTTAACAGATATCGGGTATGGTTGGGCTCGGATACAATTGAACGAGTAAAGTAGGTCATTTTTACTTATAATAAATGTATTTGGACTAGATGAACTTAATTGATATTTAAGGGTTCGACGTGTAAATATTCAGGGAAAATTTGATTATAAAAGGAAACGGGGAAAACTTAGAGAGAATACTCTTACTCTAAAATAGAATATTGGCGTCTATCATGAGGTAGGTAAAACTTTTCCTATTTTACATTTAAAACAATTATGGTGACTCGTCCTAACAATCAAAACAATCAAGATCTTAATTGAATTTATAGACAAATCTCCAAAAGATTTGTTAGACGTACTCATTGTTCCTCTCTTATTCCTTTTTTCTCCATCTTTGCAACTGCTCGGAGCTTCACAACCACAAGCCCTAACTCTTCCAAAACACACCCATTTCATTCCCTTGCTGTTCGTGCGATTTTGAATACTCAAATTAATTTTTATGGTTGTAAGTTATGACTTCCTATATCTCGTTTAATTTTTATAATGAATTAATTATTCAACACTTATTGTTTTTGTTGATTTTTTAAAATTCTTTGGATTTTGCTGAAAGTTTTGGGACTTCTATTGGTTGCTTCACCTCTAGGTATGTTTGACCTGTTTGTGATAACTCACTGTGACAGTTAATTGAATGTTAAAATTTTGCTGTAGTTATGATGTTTAATTCAAATCTATTGGCCATTGAACCTTTGTTCTATTAGCATTGTTATGGACTATACTAAATTTCTGATGATGCCTGACAGTTTTAAATTATTAACGTACACTGTGATAAGACAGAATATTTTTCTTGTTCTGAATTCTGTCCTCCCTACACAATTTTTCAGTCTTTTTATGTAATCCAGGTTTACACATTCATTCTTTGAAAAAAAAATCTTCACCTTCATGAATTTTGAGTGGTATATGATGAACGCGTTAAATCTTTATTTCATCATGTTTCATCATTTAAAACTATTATTTTATGATTTTTATTGAATTATTTAAGATTTAAGATTTAATTTTAATTTTATAATATTATATATTTTTTCTATGATTAGTGGATATAACTTTTTTATATTAAAATATAATGTAAAATCATTTAATATTTATGGGTAAGAAAAATGAACTTGTATTTTTTTTTTTGATAAGCTGAACTTGTATCTAATTATTTACTAAAACAAATATTTCAATTTAAAATTTTATGTAACTAGTTTTCATATAATTAATTAAAAAAATATTTTATTAATATGTGTTTTGTTTATGTTATTATAATATCATATCTCAGCATTCAATATATTGTAGGTTTTATATTTAGTTTCATTAAAATTTTGTTATAAAGAAAATAATGAATAGGTTAAAGTATAAAATTATTTATAATTATTACTCTTAGCTATTAGGTTTTTCTGTAGGAGAATAATATTTTTAATTATTTTATTTTAATAGACTTAAAGATATTGATAATGATACTTTATTATTTAGTTGTGTAGATGTACATGGAGAAGAAGATGAAAACAAAATAAGATGTTTGATGTGAGTGAAAAGAAGAGAAATAATTTTTAAAATATGGAATTCATTATATTATTTCTCTGTGTATTTTATTAATTATTTTTAATTTATGTTAAAATATTTTAAAATATGAGATTAAAATTTACTTGTAATAAGGTAAAAATTTAAAATAAATGATGTTATTATCTTAAAATCTCATTAACATGTTTATCTTTAATCTTAAAATATCTTTAGAAACAATAAAATTAAATTAATATTGTGATTGATAATAGATGAGATCTTATCTAACAACTATAAAAATATTAAGAAAAAAATAAATAACAAACATCAAAGTCATTTTATTGCATTTCATGTATAAGTATCTTCTTTTAACATTGAACCCTAATTATTATTGTTTTTTATAAATATTTACATTTATCTTTTTAATGCGTAGTTAGTATCAAGATATTCATTTGTATTCTTGATTTATCAAAAAGGGTTAGTTGAGATACATAGTGATTTCAAAATCACATCTATCATATCAATTTTTATAAAAATAATAGTAAAGAAATAAAATATTATTTTAAATGATGAAAAATATAAATTTATATATGGACATATACAACTTTGTGGATGTCATGATGTTAAGGATTCAAGAAGCTGTACTCAAAAGAAGAAAAATTTTGGATTATTTCTTTTAGAAAAATAGCAATCTCAACTTTTCTTTATTTAGATAATGAATTAATTGAAAAATATTATATTTAATTATTGACAATTTTTTTCTACAATGAGAATGTTATGAGTTATCCATGCTAGCCATAATCTTTATAGTTATAATTTATTCAGAAAAAATTAATAAATTGTTTTTTGTTTTAATGATTTATTTAAGATGAAAAATTAGATTGAATCTATTTTGTAATGTATTTCTCTTAACCAATTTATAATCACCACTCAACACTTCAATTCATATGAAGTCTTTTGTTACTATGGTTAGAATGTGACCTAGACTCGAAATGCGAGCTATATGCGAAATGCGCACTATGTACAAAATACGTATTATGGTCGAAATGCGACCTAGACTCGAAATGCGAGTTATGTACGAAATGCACACTATGTACGAAATATGTACTATGGTCAGAATGTGACTTAGACTCAAAATGCGAGCTATGTGCGAAATGCGCACTATGTACGAAATACGTATTATGGTCGGAATGCGACCTAGACTCGAAATGTGAGCTATGTGTGAAATGCGCACTATGTACGAAATATGCACTATGGTCAGAATGTGACTTAGACTCGAAATGCAAGTTGTGTGCAAAATACGTACTATGGTCTGAATGTGACCTAGACTCGAAATGCGAGCTATGTGCGAAATGTGCACTATGTACGAAATACGTACTATGATCAGAATGTGACCTAGACTCGAAATGCGAGCTATGTGTGAAATGCGCACTATGTACGAAATACGTACTATGGTCGGAATGCGACCTATGCTCGGAATGCAAGCTATGTTCGGAATGCGAACTAAGATCGAAACGCGATCTAAGTTGGAATACGAGTAAAAGCAGGTTAATCTTCATCTAAATTCAAGTACTCACGGAAGCAATTTTCACACTCTACATCAAGACGACGGTCACTGTAAGTTTGATTTTTAATGGTTGTTTATTCCCTTTAAGTGGTTGAACTTTATAATTATATCATGAAATATTAAGGGATGAAGTGTATTCGACGTTTATTTCGGTTTTTAGTCTTTGTATTAGAAATATTTTTCTAATTTAAGACTTGGGGATTGTGGTATGTGTATAGAGATTGAGCCGAGTTGGGCTCGGATCCAATTAAATGAGTAAAGTGGGTCAAAATAAACCCATTTGGAAGAGATGAACTTGATTGATACTTAAGAGGCCTGACGTGTAGATAATAAGGAGAAATTTGATTATAAAAGGGAACGGGAAAACCTAGAGAGAGGGCTCTTACTCCATAACAGAACATAGGTCAAATAAGAAAAGACCACGAGTGGCTCTAGGGGATACGTCAGGAGGAAAGGCAAGTCAGGCGATTGGTAAAGGAAAGAAACAAAAGAAAAGAGATATTAAGAATTCCAAAGTTGGTTTTGGAGGCAAGAAGGGGTTGAAAAAGCAGAATACTGCTAACACCACCAATGACTACAGTAAATTCAAGAAGCGTCTTGTCTCCGAAAACAAGAGAAAGAGGTAAAGACAATATTTTTTTGTTGTACGTCTTGAAGGAGCCAATGACCTGGGAATTTCATCTACTTTTTTAATTTTACATTTATGGACATTAGATTCTTAAATATCTACTTCAATTTTGACTATTTGCTAAATGATTAGTTGTTTTATGTTCTTGTTATTGAGTAAAGCAATTTAACGTTGACATATTTGTTGTACTTGCATTTTATAAGAAAAATATATTTGTAGTTATGTTGTAGTTAATTTTATAAGAAAAATTATATTTTTTTTAAATTGTTTAGATTTAGTTTTTTAAAAATAGAATTTTGTCTTCTCCATCTCGTAAAAGAAAAAAGAAAGTTTTAAAAAATAGAATAATATGACATAAAATGTATTCCAAGTAGACGTGGAATCAAAATTACTAAACAATGTGTAACTATTATTTGTCACTAAAAATAATATTATAAAATTTTTATTTTAAAGGAAAGTTTTCATGGTAAAGAACTTTAAGGATTGTTGGGAAGGTTTAGTTTACTTTCGATAAGACCGACTAAATCGTAAAGTAAAGGAAGTTATTTTGTTTGATTTTTATTTTTATTTTCAATTTTATATAAATTATTTAGCTACTTTTTATTATTATAGTGATATTTTAATTTTAGTGTTCAATTTTTAATAAGATTTGTCACTAGATTTTGCAACTTATGTTTGTAGAGGTAGATTCAAAACTTTATTATTTTCCGGAGAAGTAAGTCATATTCATTGTAAACTTTTAAATAGAGAGCAACCAAAAAAATCCTCCAAAATTGAAAAAGGGTGGAAGCAATTTTATTGTGAAAATGGATTGAAGGAAGGCCATAAATGTGAAAAGAGAAGTCTCATATCAGACAAATCTTACTTTGGTGCGTATTTTTCTTACTATAACAAGAGCACAATATTTACATTGTAAAACACACCAAAATCACTTCCTTTTCTTTTTCTTGTTGCTTTAGTATTTGATAGATAAGAGAGAAAAATAATTTCTCTTTTTAGGTTCTCTTAGAGTTGTTTTTCCTTTATTTTCAAGAGAGTGTATTATTGTTTCTTCCTTGTAGGTAGAGAAAGAAGGGTTGTAATTTCTTTCATTAGTGGAATTACCTTTTTGCCTATTATCAATATTTTTCTCATCTTTTTATTTTAGTTGTATGTGTTTATGCTTTTGTCTTATACCTAACAATGAAGTAATATTTCAAGTTAGTATCAATCCAAAATATATAGTCAAAGTTTGGTTTTAGATATGATAATATGACTATGTAATATTCATTTTCTTTGTAATATAGTTAAGTTAATGTTTTAGGATTTTCTTTTGTAATATGTTTGTCTTGACCTTTTGATGCCTAATTGTTTCCTCTATTTTGAATCTTAAATGTTACATTTCCTACTTCTGCACAAAATAAATATATATTATCTCATTCCAATCTATATTCTCTTCTGCTATGACAAGATGATGTCATATTATATAAAGAAAATTGTTGTCATAATTGCTACTATATCAAATATAGATTTTTTTGCTTAAATTTTTCTTGAACATGTCAAAACAAACAAAATTGAAAAACATTGTCAAATTAGGGTAGGTGACATTACTGGAAAATTAAGAAGCTCGCTATAACAATTTTGTATACAAATCAACAAAAGAAAAGTTACACATTGAGTGGCCCGAAAAAACAAAAAATATATACATCTTATAGAGATGAATATGAATATTGTTTACAAATAGTTTCTATTGTATCAACCATCTGCATAACAATTTTAGTACTAAACCCCTTGGTTATCTATTTCAATATTCAATTATCTTTTCATTTTGATATTTGTCACAAAATTTAGTCAAATGTTTTAGAATAAGAAAGACATATTGTCGACAATAGAATGGCTGGAAAAGATAAAAAATACTATACCTATTGCAATAGATACATAAAGAAGACTCATTATGCCTTATGAGAAACTCATGCTCAGAAAGAGTTAGCTTAGTTGTGAATCATAGATTGTAGTGCAATGTTCAAATTTGACTTTGCTTTTTACCTTCTCCCAAATATCACAGAAATAAACTTATTACTGTAATTCATAACCAGTAACTCATTTTAGTATTTTCGTTATGTTATTACTATATTTTTTTACTTTTTTTGTTGGATGAGTTTATGCAGGTATGTTGTAGAAAAAAAGTAACTATTATTGGAGAAATGTACAATTGTTTTATACAAATAACCCAATGAGCTTACAATAATATAGTAACACTTTTTGAGAAAGTAGAATATTATAATTATAATTTAATAGTAAATAGACAAAATATACTTGAAGGCCAAATAATCTTTAGTGCATTCCTCATCTTTGTATATCTCATTCTCTTTGATACTCATCTTATATCACTTTGTGTATAGCAAAATTATAGATTTTAAAGTAATGGAACCAAATGATTCAAAACATGCAAGTTCATTTTGTAACAAAAGTTGGCCGCTAGAAATGTTCATATGATAGGTTAGATATTATCATGTTTTGTGTTTCATCTTTGTTTATTCCAGATTTTATCAATTGTATGACTGTTGATTTTTTTTTTTTGAAATGTCAGATGAGAATGAGTTTAAACACGTGCACACAAAAAAGAGAAAAATGAATGCCATTCGCAACTTTTCTAGCCTTGAACCTTGCAGTACAAGTTTAACAAAGTTTTTTTTTTTGTAGTTGCAAATTTGTTTGTTTAGCTGAATTGAATCTGCATTATTAATTTTTTTTTCTAATTTACATTACAATGTGATAGCACACAATGTTATATGAGAATCAAATGAGCACTATTTTCTATGGAAATGTATCAAGTAAGAACCCTCACATTACAACTGCAAAGATTATAGTTATATCATTGTACATCTTCGTATTTACCACTCTAAATGTTGCATCCTATATTAAAATTTATTCAACAGTTGACATTTGTACAAGCTACAGTAGTAATGGAACATTTCAAAATAGAAATAGGAAGCCATTTTCAAAATTTTCATTTGGCTAGTTGTCTTAATCATATAGTTAATATGTAATTTAAACTAATATATTAATAGTAATTATAATTTTTTACGGATTATTATTTCATATCAGAATCAAATAAACTATAGCGACAAAATTATAAGGAAGACCATTCTTAATGACAATTTAACATGTCATAATCCTCACAATACAGGTAAAGTATTATTCTTATATTGTTGTATATTTTTGTTTACTACTTTCAATGTGACTTATGATGTTGAAATTTATACATCGAGTGGAACATTTGCGAGTAAAATTTATACAACTTTTAATAAACATTCTTTTTTGTGATGCGTAGGTCAACTTTTAAATAAATCTATTCCAAATTCAAGTCAGAATACATCATCTCCAACTTCAGAAGTGTTTACAACATGTTGTTATGTTTCTAATCTGAAATATATTCAATATCCTTTAAACATCATCAATTCAATTGCCAAAAACTTGAATTATGAAGAAGAAAAGGAGCAAGAACAAAATTATGATAATTATTTTTAAATTTGTGTTTTTTTACTATTTATATTAGTATATATTACATACTTATGCTTTTTAAAATATATTAACAGATGATATCCAATCTATTTTTGTTTAGATCTTTATTCAAAAGTTGAATGGCAAAGTAAAAACTCTTCGTATTATTCTATGTTCGAGTTAGCATCATTATTAATGAAATTATTTACTATGTTTGTATTAATATAATATTGCTTATAGATATTGTAAATCTTGGACAACCTTACCTTCAATGTCAACATTGCTTAGTTAAAGTATGGTATGAAGAGAGAGCTTAGAAGTCAAAAAGATTGAAAGAAGCTAATTTCTCTATATGTTGTCAAAAAAGAAAAGTTCAACTTCCATTATTATAAAAACTTCCACCTTTAGCAGCTTTATTACATGATGTAGATCATAGAAGCAAACACTTTTTATAGAACATTAGAACTTACAATAACATGTTTTCTTTTACTTAAGATTCATTATTTAGTCAATGATGGATGTGGCCCTCCTCAATTCATTCTTAATGGGCAACATCATCATAAAATTAGAAGTTTATTGCCATAGAATGGATGTAGTCCCAAATTTGCTCAACTTTATATCTATGTTACTCAAAATGAAGTAACAAAGTTTCCCATTTTTGGTAAGTATTATATTGTTTATTCTCATACTTATTTCTTTAAAAATTCTTATCAATATTTACTTTTTTGTAATAGGTCCAACGTACATGACTCAATCTTCGATAATTCTTTAATTGTCGATTTTACAAGAATGATTGATGAATTCAATGTTCTTGCTCAATCTTTTAGAAGAGTTAGAGATTTTTTATGCTATCATCCAAGAGAAGATTTTAAATTGTGTTTGTTTCAAAATTGATCCAGGGATTCTCAGGTATGCAATACACCTTCATCAGATGAGGTAGCAATATTGATAGTTGGTGACTTGGATAACATGAATGTAGGAAGATATATAATTGTCCAAAAGGTTTGTGGTGAATTGACAAGACTACATGAAACACATATAGCCTTTATTCCTTTGCAATATTCTTTGATATTTCTATATGGAGAAGACTATCAAGAAGATATTCCAATAAGAGAGTCTATGAACTGTACTCAAATGCATAAAATAATTTGTATTTCTTTAAGAGAATTTATTGCATTTAGAATTCAAGAGAGAGTTGTTGAATTGGGTAACATTATCGTGACATGTAGATTGTTCCAGCAATTCTTGGTTGATTGTTATACTATGTTGAAGCTCAAAGATTGTCATTCATACGAGCAAATAAGAAACTAATTTATTGTGATCTTCTTAACAGATTACAAGAAGTAGTTAGAAGAGGTGAGATTGATCCTAGTTTAATTGGCAAATGTGTGGTTCTACATGCTTCATTTCTAGGTGGTATGAGATACATGTTTAATAATTGTCAAGATGTTATGACTATTTGCAAAATATTTGGATACCTAGATTTATTTATAACGATCACATGCAATGTAAAAT